TTTGATTTATTGAGCAAGTAAATGTTACCTAACACTTTTCTCAATTTGTTCCCTGTAAGCATTTTAATACTGCATACAACCATTGAATAAAGAATCTGAATTATTCAATGATACAACACAGCTACCTAAAGTGAAATTCTGTATCACGAGAACAATAAAATCCTCCCCCAAAAGGTCACGTGATTTAAAAAATGCTTTCTGGTCGGTCTGTGCTAATTTTGGCGCGCACCAGCGTCCAAACGCGCGTCGAGACGCTTCTTACGGACCGTGCTGATGTTTAACGCGCTTGTAGGTTAAAGTTGTGTATTTGTTTTTATTTGTCCATTTTCTACCATAAGGTGAGCGCTTAAAATTAGATTCTAACCAGTGAAAATGCTTTGATTTCACGCAATCATATGCATGAAATTTACCTTTTTAACACAACTTTTCGAGATTAACGCCTGAATTATGTTTTTGGCACACGCGTGCACGTTTTGCCAACGATCGGAAGAATTATACTTGTGCAATTTCAAGGGCGTTGTGGACGAAAAAACATAGCTTCTAATTTTGATCGTGTGTAAATTAAACAAATTGTATCTTACATGACGTTTCAGGTTTGTATCTTTAAGCAAATTACAGTAGAGGTTCAATCTATAACTAGTTTCGAATATATTTCTGTTTTGTAATTTATTTTTACTGTGTTTTAATGTGCAACGCACCCGTTTATGCCCGACTTATAACTAAAAATATAACTTTAATGCATTGCCCTACTGACTGCAATTTTTAGTAATAATCCATCTGTATTACAGCTAACGTAATGATTCGAGTGGACGAGGACGATCCCGTCGGAGGTATGTAAATTCATTAAGTAAATACCTGTAGAACTGCCAAAAGTTAAGCAATATTTACTGAGAGACGTGTATAAAGGATAACTACGTATTATGTATAAAGGTAACGTTCCTTGTTGCTAAATAGTAGGTAACAAACAAACTATTCTATCCTGCGAATGGAATTTTTGCCACTGGTTTCGTTAAGTAACGTGCAAGTATCCTGACTCACCCAGCGTTATTTTTGGCAAATTCCGTAAAACAAGGCGTCGATAGGCTTCGTGCATACTTTACGAAAGCGCCGTTTGTCTTTGTTAGCAATCTGCTAGCAGTAACACGCTCCAGAATTGTTTATGGCTTCTTGTTCAGATACCGAAAAGTTAAAAGGTAATAAGTACTTAAATTAAATTATCACAAATGTTACCTACTCATTTCAAAGAATTACAACGAAAAAAATTATCAAAGTCCTCGTTTGAGATCGAAGGGACTTCAGCGCATTTTTGTGTGGCAGATCAGTATTCTATTAGCCACTTTCGACTCAACCATCAATAACAGATCTTGTCAAAGGCTACTACATTCACTAACCGCTTCCCACTTTCCGCGTGCACCCGCAATTCGCTTTTAATGTTTTGACTCCACCATCAGTAAGATCGTGTCGGGGGCTACCACATTCCCTTTGACGGTACCCACTTCCGACGTTCCGTTCACCCGCAATTCGCGTTTGAAGATTTGACTTCACCATCAGGAAGATCGTGTCGGGGGCTACCACATTCCCTTTGACGGTACCCCCTTCCGACGTCCCGTTCACCCGCAATTCGCGTTTAAAGATTTGACTCCACTATAAGGAAGATCGTGTCGGGGACTACCACATTCCCTTTGATGGTACCCACTTCCGACGTCCCGTTCACTCGCAATTTGCGTTTGAAGATTTGACTCCACCATCAGGAAGATCGTGTCGGGGGCTACTCGCAATTCACTTCTATTGGCGGCACGAGAAAGAGAGACAGCGATTCGAGATTTACGAAACGTTAAACCGCGTGAGTTCGCAACGGAAGGTAAAAGGCGCCCGAAGTTGACTACTTCTCGAAGACGCGCGCGCGCGCCTCGCAAAAGGTCGTTAATTTCGCCCCTATGACAAAAAACAACATTCCGCCACGCAGGAGTTGTGCGCGTTTACAACATCTTTCCGACGACACCAATTTGAAAAGAATCTGACCAAAACTGTAGTAGAAGATAGGAAAAAACTGAAAAACCTTCACGTTAGTATACTACGCTCGAGGATGACGCCCAGATGTCGCCAACCCCACATCATGTAGCCATGTCCCTAAGGTTGACAAATTTCACGGCCCTGTAGATACACGTACACCCGTTGCCTTTCTAGAAGAGTTCTTCTACGCGCCCACATTTGCTGCCAGCCAGCCAGCCAGCCAGCCAGCCAGCCAAAGTGAGATTAAAAGCTACTTTTTACAAATAAATTTGCAAAAATGCGCTAAAAACAACCCCTTCAAACAAGAATAGAACGAGATTGAATTATCTCAATTTCGAAATATGTCACTACTTCCAAATTCATCCTTGTACATTAATTAAACCTCACTAGGTACCTATTGTGAATTTTGTTTTTTGGATAATGAGATGAATAATGTCTCAACGCATGGTAGTCTGAATCATATCGTTTCCCTATTTGCACTACCACTTGTTTGTAACCTTCTGTATTTACTAGTTTGAGATGACAGGAAACGTGCAAAGAGTTTGGTATAGTTGCTCTTGAAGACAGTATTGCTCTGTAGACACTATCTCCTATTTTATCATTGTATGGGTTTCCTGTTCTTGTTCGAATCAAAGTTCCAAGGTTCAACACCATTATTCTAATCCAGATATATTATTTTGTTTCAAAGTTTAAGCTCCTAAGTGAGGTCTTACGATTAAGACTGTAAAGTTCAAGTTTCAAGGCTCAAGCTTGAATTTTAAAAAATATTTTCGAGGTAAGTATATCTGAGAATTAAGATTCGAGACTGCCAAACCAAAATTTAAGGATCAATATACAATATTCAGCATACGAACCTTTTAGTCTTGGAGCATTCAAGTTTTAAAGTTAAAGCTTCAACATTAAGCTTTAACACTCAAGTGCCAATTAAATAGTCAAGGCCAATGACACTTCTTCTGCATATTTCTTTCCGCAGAGCTTCCCTTCAGATTCTAACGACACGCATTTGTCCCAATTTTCGTACCTTCAATAAGGGTAGGAAGCCCGCAGATCGTTATTTCGAAAATGTTGGGTCCAAAATTCAAAATTTGGGACATTGAGTTCTTTATGACAAATACGAGATGGTTCTGAGGGGCTTCTACATAGCTTGAACAGCAGGCCATTCTCACGTATGACTATAATTCCAAGTAATAGGTTTGTTCTTATCTTTTTCCACCTAATTGCCTATTTCCCTTTTCACTTGGAATTCTTGCACATCAATAAGAGATGGATTTAGTTAATTTCCAGTTTGCCAAATTATACAGAATGATCGATAAAATAGCAGCGTTTCCGGTCTTTCATCGACACTCTGAGATCAAAGAGTTTACACCGTCAAAATAAGAAAAATAAAGGAACTAATTCATGTATTACCAATTCCTTGGGAATTATGTGTAGGGGACTTTCCCCTAATCAACGGTGCGTTAGATCGAATTTAGGACATGTTCCGGCGCTTGCGAGGCGATCTTGATGGAGTGCAGCATTCGATCCTCTCCACTCACCCAACCCCATCGTTGTGGATCGTGGTTGTTGTTCGCAAGCAATTGCTGGATCCGGAAGTCGGAAGTACAACCTGCGAGAGTTTTACCCAGACGCACCTTTAGTCGGAATATGATCGTCCCAATATTGAACGAAAAGTTACATGTACAGTCTCTTGTAAAAGTAATGTCCCTCGGATACCTACCACTGTAGCATAGGCAACCAACATCCCAGCCGACTAGTCCAAGTTGGATTTGCGGGTGTGGGAGGTAGGTAGGTATCTAATGCGGTTCGTTTTCAGCAGGTATTCCCACTTTGCCAAACTAAAACTAAGTAGTAGAATGAAAATGAATGGGATCGATTTATTAGCTCAAAAGATCTGCGCTGCTTTAATTTATCCTTGGTTTAATACAATAGAAATTTTTACATTTATTTCAATTGGTTTGGTGCGTTTTAAATTTGGAAATAGTTTAGCTAAAATAATGACCTTTTACTTTTAATTTTTTCGAGTAGATTTTCTTCTAACAAAATAAATGTGATGATTTTGTTGTTTTATACTGACATTGAAATTGAAGTCTCATTATTAATTACTCGGGCCTCCTAATGGAATGCGATTATCTGCACTGGAAGCGCAACAATGCCGTTCCTTTTGTAACTACCACATCCCACTCCTTTCAAACCCCGGGATGGCACCCGCGGAAAATTCAGCTGTTTTAATTATTTTTCCCTAATTTCTAATCATTTCACCTGCATGAAAAAGCCGGTTTAACTGGTAACTAATTTTTTTGTCAAAAAATATTATACCTATAACCTGGACTAAATATCCTTATAATATGCCTACCTCGAGGCCTACCTACTCAAAAATATGCAACGTAAAAGCTCTCCTAAACTAAATTCGATATTAAATCAACCACGACCAAGTATCACAAATGCATATCATTTAATTTCTGATGCTAGTTGCAAAAGAAAGGTATTGTTGCACAGTGCACTTGTAGGGCAATTAATCGCATTCCATGAGGAGACCTACTCGCAAGTAATTATTAATGACACTGGAATTTCAATGTCATTAAAGGACAAGAATATCACCTTTATTTCGTTAGAAGAAAACCTACTCAAAAAATTAAAAAGTGAAAAGCCATTATTTTGTCTTAATAGTCTCTAGCTAAACTATTTGCAAATTTAAAACGCACCAAACCAATTGTAAGAAATGTAAAAATGTTTACTGCACCAAGCCAAGGATATGCAGCGCAGATCCTTTGAGCTAATAAATCGATGGCATTCACTTCTATTCTACTACTAGTATTTAGTTTGGCTAAATGGGAATATCTGCTGAAAATGAACCGCATTAGATAGCTACCTCGCACACCCGCAAATCCAACTTGGACTAGGCGGCTGGGATGTTGGTTGCCTATGCTACAGTGGTAGGTATCCGAGGGACATTACTTTTACAAGAGACTGTACATACCAATGACTTGGATTTGCGGTTCACGTTCATCGGAGAAACCGTAAATCTCATTTTTTGAGACACAAGATATTACTGTGCCTCGATCAGCAATTAAAAACGGTCCTTTAATTGTCGACCCAATTATAATATTCAGCAATACCTAACTATACAATTCGGTTGGGTAAGTACAAATGCGTTCTTTGTATACCTTTTGCAAGGAATTAGGTACCTTTCAGTGACAGTATGTACGATGTATCCACAATATGTGTTATCTATGGAATCACATTTATTGATCAAGTATATAGGTTCAGTTTCACTGAAGCATGAAGCACTGGCTTTAAGATTAACTTCAATGTCTACCCTTCATCAAAGATTGTGCAATAAATTACCCTTCATTCCAGAGCTACCTACCCTCAACAACATATGACTGGTGGTCATGAAAGATATAATACTTTTTTAGTTCTCAGTTGGTCTCTAATCCTACTGTAGAGGGCATCGACGTGGTAGAAAACTCCTGGAGCAAGTACCTACCGCATATATGACGCATTTTACCGCAAATGTCATTATTTATCATGGTAGTAAATACAAAAGACAGGCGGCCTTTGTTTTCAGTACTGAAGCGTGATATATTTATTTCTTATGCAAATTATTTTTTTAATTGTCCAACCAAATAATAAATTAGAAATGTACCTCTTGCACAGGTGGTCCCTATAATCTAGTAAGTGGTTGCCATATTTCTAGGCGGACTGTCTCAAATTTCTTGTTGTGGAAAAAATGAGATATTTTAACAATCCTTACGACGATTTCTCCCCGGAAGCTGCAGAAGGTCTGATTTCGTCAAACAAGGTAAGTACGCCCGCTATCCTGCAACAAAGTTGCCATATAAATAATAGTTGCATCCAGATTCGACAGTAGCATGTGCTGTAGAATCAAAATGGGATTGGACGATGAGAAAGTTAGATCACTTGGACTTCAGTGATAATTCGGTATATACCGGAACTTCAGGAATTGCGCTTTTAAAGTTACTCAAAGATCCCAATGGGGAGCAGAATCTGAAGGTAGTATTCTTTCCCCAAGATTCTCTAATCAACTTGACTTAAAGGAGGTAAAGCATCTGCTGAACTTAAGGAAGCTGAAGTACAAACGATACTCGTTTTTGTGTGGAGATGCGGGCCCTCTAGCTATCGGGGCAGTTGTCTGCCATAGGCTCAAAGAGAAGCAAGAATCCGAAAAACTGATAGAAAAGTTGTTTCTTTTACTTTTACCCTAAATATAGTACATTGTTGAAATTGCAGATTATTGGCTATGTCTGATAGTGCTGTTAACAGTAAATCAGATCTTCCGAATGAATATTTGTATGGCCGCGCAGGGTATTTGTACGCATTATTGTATGTCAATAAAAACATTCACCCACCTCCTATTGGCAACCAACTTATTAGAGAGGTAAGTTAATCCGTCGGTTACCAACTCCAAATGTAACATTTTTACAGGTGATAGAAGCCATTTTTGTTTGTGGTAGAACTGAAAGTCGTCTGGGAAAATTCAAGTGTCCCCTTATGTACCAATGGCACAATAAACAGTACTTGGGAGCCGCACATGGTGTTTCAGGTATACTGTATCTTCTTCTGCAAGCTAAGGAACATTTAAGTGAAACAGAATTGAATAACTTTATCAAGCCTACTGTGGACTATTTGGCAGATTTAAAGTAAGCCACGGATTTAAATATTATATATGTGAGAAAATATTTTAGATATTCAAGCGGGAACTACCCATCCTCTTTGGGCAATGACGATGATAAATATGTTCAGTGGTGCCATGGTTCTCCGGGATTTGTGTACTTGTTCAGTACTGCTTATAAGGTATTACGGCTTGTTCTTGCGGTGGAAACTGATATTTTTGCAACAGGTGTACGGAGATTCAAAATATTTAGATTTAGCCCTACAAGCAGGCGAGGTTGTCTGGAAAAGAGGACTATTAAAGAAGGGTTATAGCATTTGCCATGGCGTTTCCGGAAACGCGTATTGCTTTCTCGAATTATTTCAACTAACACAAGTAAGCATATATGAGAAAATCCTTGGTAATAGTAAATAAATTTCTTGTAGGAGATGAAGCATCTATACAGAGCAATCAAGTTTACAGAATGGTGTGTCACTTACACAAGGGAGCACGAAGAATATTCACCCGACCGTCCCGCGTCGTTATTTGAGGGAGTTGGGGGTCCGATGTATCTACTCATGGACATCCAAGATCCAGCGAACTCGAAATTTCCGGGTTACACACTTTAGATTGTCAACATCTCGTGTATCAATTTATTATTAATAAATCATTCAACTAATATTTTTTAATAACATTAATTAGTAATAATTATCTTATGTACATATTGGCTAAAAATATAAACAATATCAAAAGATTAACATAGGATTTTTAGTTCTAAAGAGAAAGTGAATACTGCTTTTCAATTGTGTTATTTTCTTAATAGAGAAATTAGAAACCATCGTAGTCAATATGTATAACAATTACATCGTTTATGGTACAAAATATGGTTTAGTTGGACTAAATACGATGTTTTCTTTGGAGTCCAAGCCAAATTACGTTTTATAGTCAACGTATCAACTTTTCTTGTGATATGTAAAAATACACAGTTTTGAACTACATAAATATTTACATATGTCCACATATTTAAAAAGCCAAAAATTTTAAAATGATCAAGATTCACTCATTTTTACAACATTACATTCGAGAGAAGATTCTCAACTAAATACAAGACATGCATAAAATATGGCACAAACATTCAAACAATTCAATAAATGTAATGTCATAAAAACCAGATAAACAAATCTAACTATCAACAAGGCACTCCATCAGGTCTGGACACTTGTCAATCTAACCGTTTCGTTTTTACAAAAAATATTGTAATTTGTTCTCAGTATTTACATCGGCTCTTAATTACAAAACTATTCCCACAAGCCTTTCTGTCCATATAATTACAATGTACAAATAACAATAACTATAATAATATGTTACATTTGAGCTAATTAGCTGATAAAATTATGGTAAGACAAACTTCTTTCAAAGTTAAAAGGAATCGGTAGCGTCATCATTTTTCGAAATTGTTAGTTCAGGTCACAGTTCCCTAAAAGATTTCGGTAGCAAAAAATTCTATAAGAATATCTTAAAGCAATGGAGTTTGCGGCAAAATGTACACATTTATAATATAATTGCACAATTTTACACTTTTTCGACAAAGTTCCTCAATGCCAATAAAGCACTAATCTACTTCTCCAAGATCCCAATGAGTACGAAATTGTCCGACACCAAGTATAGAATGACTAACCAATCTCAGTCGGTTTTCTGCTGACAGTAAAGTTCTTTCAGAGATTTCAGCTCGTCTATAAGGGCTTTGTTTTGATTTTCTAGCACAGCTACTCTGTTTTCTAGGCACTTTATATACTCTTTCTTTTTTCGCCTGCATTCCCGAGCCGCCTCTCTGTTTTTCAGCAGCCGCATCTCCCGTTTTCTCGCTTGGTCTTCTCCTCCGGGACTGCTCAGGCCTCCACTTTGTGCCACAACTGCAAATTATCATCTATTGAAACATATCTTAGGTGAGAAAAGATGGTAGTTTATGCAGCAACATAGTGTCTGCATTTTTTATTTGTGAACTCACTTGGTGACTGTATTTTTTTCTGTGTCTGGGATTAAAAGAACTAATAAATAAGATATAAAAAAATGGAATGCGCATAAGAATTCAGAAAAAACAATGTTAATTACCCCCTGTGGGTGGGGTGGGTCCAGTGATGTAACCTAAGAAATGATTCCATGCTTTTAATCGCATCTTCCAGTTTTCCATTAAGGCTTGCACTCTTCTAAAGAATGTTAGGACATGGAGAGGTTCTTGGATAAGCAATTTTTTATATGGTAGAGGAAGGTAAATGATAGGAATGGACTCGGAGATTAACTGGGGGGAGAGAGGGAGGGTGTTGATTACAGAGAACAGAAAGAGGAACAAATTAAGGAACGATTGAAAATGTGAGGGAGAGATAACGACAGAAGGAAAAGGCAGAAAACTCAAGGCATGGGAGATACGGAGGCAGACTGGAAAAATTAAATGGGGAGGGAGACAGAGTAAAAAACAGGTTTAAAGGACAAAAGAGAAAAGAAAGGGAAACTATATTAAGAGAAAGAAAGAAGAATAGAGAGAAGGATAGAGAGCAAGAGACAATGGTGAATTCTTGTTTAGAATCTTCCGAATGTTAAGGAGAAGTGCGCATTCCATTAGAAGGGCAGAGAGAAAAAAGGATGGAAAATAAACCATAGATACAACATAAAAGATGGAAGAATGGGATAGGAGAAAAATAGATGGACCAACGAAGACGGGAGAAGCGAGAGATCGTGAATTGGTTCTTTGAGCCAGGTAAGACATACGTACGGAAATTGTTTGCTGTGAGAATAATTGCAACCCCCTATACCATGGACCGAATTATTAATATCAATGTTCCAGAAATCGCGCTTAAGGTAATTTTTTTCACGATACACAACAGAATATTTGGAAAAACACCAACCTGGTACAAAAAATTCCTGTCCACCTTGAGCATATTGCACAATAGCACCACCCGCCGTCGAGTTAGTCATAGTAAGTGTGTGTATGCCGGGACCTCCGTCACCGCTTGATATCTGTATGGCTCCAGCAGGTATCACTGCAACAAACGTAGAAATTGAATTATGTGTTTTATACCGTATTCTTACAAGCTTTGATCGATAGTGAAGTTTTTGTTAAAAGAATATAGTGATTTTATGAGTAGCTATGAGATGAATTGCGCATGCAAAACCACACCAACTAATGCAAAATTATGACAGGCAGTTAGGTCTTATGCTAATGGATGTACTATTTAAACCTTCACTGTCTAACCTGTTGTACTGTTAGTACTTGGTGCATTACTAATCTATGACATGAAATTAAGTGCTGATGGGTTATTCTAACTAACCTGTGTGGTATGGGATCGAATGAGAAGACAACTCACTGTCTGCCTCCGAGGATGTCTGCTCAACCTTGCCCTCTGCGAAAATTACAATTTAGTACTACTCTAACGTCCAGGTTATGGTTTGTTGTAAATCTGCCCAGTGCTTATTGAGTTATCCCATACCACATTTTCGAAACAAAAAAAAAACTATTGCAAATTTAAAACCTAACCTAAACGTGCAGACTACAAGATATTTTTAAATCAAAATAAACACAACACGTTCGACATTAAGAGATATTTTAAGAATGTGAACAATATCGTTAATTGTTATTCCTGCACAATTATTGTTAAATGCTGTCAAATAGTCAAAATAACCACCTTCTTTATTGTCTTCAGCAAAGAAACACTCCGAATCTTCAGTCGAGTCAATATAATCACCCGATTTAATATGGATCATTCTGTAACTAAAACGTCAGTTCACTAATGATGTAGAGCACAAAAAAATATTCAGAATTGAAAATGTTAATTTCATTTCTCGATCAAGTTTATATTAAAATAGATTTGATAAATCTTAAAAAAATTACTGTGTATTTAATAAACAGCTGATAACCTGCGTATGAACCGAAACAAGTTTGTTTACAAAGGACCAGTAAGAATTTCCTTGTGTGCAACAATAATTTGTTTGAGAATATACAATTAACGGTCAACTTTTCCAAATAACTAGCCATTAACCATTTCATTTAATAACGACGGGCCGAAGTTCTTATAGTTATCCTTGTTTACTAAATATGTTTATTCGCGATTGAACATTAACATTTTTAACTATTACAGATATAGGAGTTTGTGATAGTGTTCTACATAATTGGGTCAGTCTCTCTCACTTCAAATAGTTGTGTAATAGATGAAGAATTATAACAGCAAAGGAAATGTATTGCAATAAAATCACTATCCATTCTACAATTGGAGAAGGTAATAATTATTAACTATCCAATTATAACGTGTGTCACCAATGAGTAGGTACGTCAATCATTTGCGCATAAGGGCACGCGATTTGCAAAATTTAATATCGGGGGAGGGGGGGGGGTCACTAATATAAATAATAACAAAAGTTTTGTAAATGCAAATTTTAAATTAAAAAAAATTGTTATTTCAAAACCCAACTCCATATTTTCATGTTCTCCAACGCCTTTTGGGTAACAATTCCTTGCAATACCTAACCTACATCTAAATATGTAATGTGTGCCAACTGAAAAATTATGTTGGTTGGTTTTTTTTATCACACTGTATATGATTTATTTACACTGCATTCACTATTTTGTTTTGTAACTTATGTTTTTTATTTTTGCCCGTTATTTTTAAGTGGGCCATACCCAAACTTCAAATTTACCAACAGAAAGTGGGGCACCAAATCTTTCAACATTATTATGTATTATAAAGATCTTGAAAGATAGTGAAGAATGCCCAAGAAACTACCATAAAATACCACATACATACCACAAAAGCATCAGACTGTACATGTAGTAGGGGTTGAATGTTCACTCCGCTAAGACCAAAAGGATTGGTTGTTGTTTTGCTGGTACAGCAATCTCGACCGAAACCCAGCTCGTAAGGTCAATAAAACATAAGAGAAAAGATACAAAACAAGTGGGCGTTGCTAGCGCATTCGACTTGCACTGATTAGTATATTTTGAAAGACATCACTTTCCTATGACAGATCAATTTACCGTTCGATATTTTGATTAGTGATTACACTAGTGTACTGTGTGTCCTATTTAAGTTGAGACGGCAGGGTATCTCAGCTGTTTTTAAAGATAGAAACTTCCAGTTTCCACTTTTTTGTGAAACTATTAGTACTACGAACAGAATCAATCTAGCTACGTTTGTTTCTGAGATACAGAGTGAAAACGAAAAGTTTGCCTTTTTGGGATGTGATCGTATCTTACTACCCATGTAAGATAGAGAAAAGGTATAAACTGCCGATTTTAGATATTTTCACGTAGTTTTACGTACCCTGTATAACTTAACGTCAATTTCTTGCATTATTTTTTTAATAATAAAGCGCAACTGCCAAATTTTGAGCGAAAATTGGTAATTCACAGGAGCACCTAGTCTCAGTTGCATCCGGACAAACACATCGTTTTCATGTAGGGGCGTTTCTGGATTGTGGCCAGACAGTGACTGTCACTGACAAGCAGTATCAGGCTACGACAACTGCTTTGAATTGCATTGCATGAACCGTGACGATTTTTGTTTCCAGCAGACGGTGTAACATGCCATACTTCAGATCATACACTGGAATTGTTGGGTGAAAAATTTCCAGGAGACGAATTGTGAATTGGTCAGGTCCTGCGACGCCCTTAGATTTTCTCTGGGTGTATGTCATGTTGAAAGTTTAGTGCAATAGGCCAACAATTGCTGAATTATTCAAACCGTGAATCCAGCCCGACTTATGCAGAGGTATGCAAAACAAGACCTCAAAGATCGAGTCCTGTAGAAGCTATTTTCAGATCATAATAATAGCGAATGTACTTTAATCTGCTATAACGTACACACAATTTGCTATTTTCATTTTTTAAGATCGGACACACTAATGAAAACCCCTTATTCCTAGTCACAGATAGTCATTCAGGAATTTTTGATTTAAATGTTCAAAATCACAAAGAAACTATTTTATTTTAAAATTCATGGAGTAAAAGAGATAAACCAACAAATTAATCAATTTAATCCTCGCTTGTCACTAGAATACTTACTAGAAGATACTATCAGAGAGAGCACACTTCTCATGTGGAATTTAGGCACATTTCTTAATTACAGCTATACCTATGATATTTCATTTTGAACTATAATCCCATAGCGGTAATATAAACTTCCTAACAGTAATTTATAAATGTTTTAAATGGAGGTATTGACGTCAGCAACATTCAAAAATGTTGTGTGAATATTTTAACATCTCAAGGTTTGTAATTGTGATTCCTAATTAATTCGTCAAAGCACCATTGACAATGTTAAAGTCCTTCAATTTGAACAGTACTTTAACAATGTGAAAAGTGGGATGTAGAACATTTGCACAAAAATTCCATATCGTGTAATATATTCAAATTATTATGTAACTTTCTTAAGAATTCTCTTGAAAAGTATAAGATCATGCTAAACGTTATATAGTCATGCGAAAGAATTTTATTGCTACCCAAAATGTGCGACAGCATAAAAACTGTCCCAATGCAATCCGGCAGTTTTTATTCGCGCGCACATTAATTAAAAAGCTTCCGAGAAAGCTTTGAAAATCGTAAAGCAAAATAATACTGGAAAGGTAGATTAGTCTCGAGAGATTCATGCATAATAGAAAACATACCAGCTATCTCACCCCCGCCAAGATCGTTGAGTATTTTTCTATACGAAGGCCTCCTCGTGAGTAGATCTCTGCGCTTTTTTGGAGATTCGTCTTCCGATAAACTGTCGTCACTCTGTGCCTCCACAACCTTGAAACATACTGGCGCCTAAGTGCAATGCATCAAAATAAAGTAATAGAAATTATCCTATTGACAAATAAATAAATACAAATATTTTAGGAGTGTGGTTTTTACTGAACATCCTGTATATATGAATTCAGTTTACTAACTTTATTGTGCGTTTTTTTGGGACAAGTTAAAAATACATGACTAAGCCTTTTCCAAGCACCTTGTATAAAGTTTTCTGCCAGTTTATATAAGGTATTCAGAAATGATGTAGTTTACAGTTTCTAAAAACTTAAACAGTAACTTCAGCATACTTTTAGTAAGTAAATCTAGCAGTCATTTTTAAAAATACAGGGCGCACCCGCAGAGCAATTCTGCAGGAGACCAAATTTAATTTCATCCTGTATCCCCTTAAATTAAAATAGCAAGATAGGTTCGTGGGGGTATATCATTTAAAATTCTATAAGTAAATACGTTTTCATTAAGCTGGGTATTCAGGTTCAGTTTGCCAGCAGTCCACAGACTGTCCCCTGGCCATTGTCTTTCAATACATACGTACAGTATTACTAGATGCCGTGGCTACTCTTTTATATAAGGTATCACTCCAGAGGTGTCAATACAAAATTTTACCCAACTATAAAATTACCGCCCAAGGTGTGCTCACATTGCAATTTTCACAATTCTCAATCCATGAGAAGAATTGCCCACTTGTAGGTGTATGGTGAAGTGGCCCGGCAACTGTTGCCTTTTAGACTAAAATTGGTTGATTTTTTTTTAATTTTGGTCTTTTTTTAATAATCAGAAGCCTTTGGGAGGGGGGAAATTACTACATGTTTGTATTGTTTAAACAATGTGTTACCTTTTTATGCAGGAAAATTTTTAGCGTGCTATTGTTTATGTTTTCTCCAACCATCTGTTCTTCCGAACCTACTTCTGCGAATTTGAACTACTTTTAGCAGTGGTGTAGTCAGTCGTAAATTTTCAAGTGTGAGTACGCTCACCATGCTCTGAGAATTGACTGCGATCCAGAATGCCCCCCCCCCCCCCTCGCAATGAGCTGTCTATAAAGACTACTGTAGCTAAGATATTGACCGATATTTATAAGATGCCATCCCTGATGAACACAAAAAGAAGCGCATCGAAAGTTTTATTTCACGCCAGACACTAGAGAACAATGAAAACAATGGCGGTATTCCAGTTTTCCAAATGTCAAAAAGTTCAAGCAAACGCAGTCAGCGGGCAATGTAATGGCTTTGGTATTCTAGGACAGGAAATGCGTTCTCCCGATCGATTATTTGAAAAGAGGTACAACAATCAGCGCGGCAAGGTACTTCGAGACATTAACAAAGCTACGGCGGGCTTTGCCCCCCCCTCCCCCCAATTATTTTCCGAAATGTTGTTGAAAGTAAAACATGTACAACTTTTACATGTGACAACCAATTGTCTTTTTCACACGCATGCCTCTAGTGGTGCCTAGTAAAAGTTGAAAAAAAAAAAAGGTTGGAAAATGCGCTAAAAATGGGGGGAACATGAACACACCTAACCCTTGATGGTATTCTAATGAAAGCGAAAGGTCAAATCAACTTTCCTCCTCTCCTTTTTGAGATCAGTGGGTGACGGGAGGGAGAGGGCGTTAATTGATTTTATCTTTTATGGTATTCTAATTAAAGGTCTTCACGACAGGAACTGTAATATTCTTTTTTTCTCTACCAAAAATGCTATTTTAGCTACCAAAATTCCCCCTGTATTGTTTTAACCATTTGTGTATTTTTTTTAATAAGTAGCATAAATATTGTTTAAACAATATATATAATTATTTCCCTTTTCTACGAGGTTTCTGATTTTAAACAATATAAAAAATAAAATTTAAAAAAAGAATCATCAATATTGGAGCTGTTTCACGGGAAAAACCTTCATTGACACGACTATAGGTAGATAGATTTCTACAGTATTAAAGTAGGTTCAAAAAGTCCGCCATCTTGTTTTAGTGTGACTGTCATTCTTTTTTTCCCGTTCCCATTGGAATTTCGGGAAATCCTGTCTCAGTGCTCTCCTACAATCCCCAAGGAACCTACATGCCAAATTTCAGCTTTCTACGTCCAGGAGTTTCAGCTGTCAGTCATTCAGTCAGTTACAAAAAAGTTTTGTATACAGGGAGCTTAACGTAGTCCGTTCGTTAGAAGTTTTTAAACTGGCAGTTGAAATAGAAACTTAAAGTTTGGTTCAGAACCATAATCGACTATTGCGAATTGAAATAAAATAATTTCAACATGGCGCCGCTTCCGTAAATATTGGAAGTCGGCGCCATCTTGATTTTTTTTAAATAGAAACATACCATTTTCTATTTTTTTTTTGTAAATATTCCATTTTATTCTGATTTAGTTTTTGACGTCATCTCTTAAACAGTTCAAAGTAAGTGCTCCTTTTTGTAATTGAATCCTTAAAGTATAAGAAATGTCAAACACTTCAGTTTTTGTGTTATTTGTGATGCCAGAAATGCGAGCAGAAATGATATAGATTTGAATTTTAGGGCCACTTTTGCCAAGACTACTTTACCAACCCAACCCACTATATATATATTTACAAATATCCATGCCCAAACCCGGTCTCCTTGGTACCGCAGTTGAGCAATAAAATAATAACAGCTCTCATACAAAAACAATTTGAGCTGCACATGTAATTTATGAGAAAAAAATTAAAATGGCTAAATCTGGTATAAGACAGACAAATAACCTAGAATCCAAAAATGCAGTAATATATAGGATGTTCTATTTAAAAAAAGCAAGTTAACATTTACTTACGGTATAACCCGTACTCCCACCAACTCGTAAATATTTTAGACCTACTTTCCGAGATATAGATAGCTGGCATTTGTCTCCTGTACACAGGGCGTTCCTTAATATGATGTAAATATGAAAGGGGGTAATTCTTTGGGTGTTAAAATTTTTTCTTTATATCTCTCTGCAGTTTTGGATATTTCGCTAAATTTGAGATATAAATTACGCTGAATACAGGGTATCGTTTTTTTTCAGGGATCATGTTCCATTTTCTATCCCTGAACATTTTTTGCCGCCACCACTGGTATTGTGAAACAAGAAATCAATTTTCTGGCTTGTTTAGAAACTTTTTGCTCTTTGCGCTTTTTTCTACCAGTGATAGGCAATAAAATAAAAAACAATTTTCGTTAGTATAATTTCTAAAATGCTTCAGTAGACCATGGTTATATTTGGATAATAATTTTGTTTTTATTAGTTTAGACAGTTGGCATCGAAAATGTATCTTGTGTTTGCATATGTTTATAAATTAAAGGTTTAAATTGTAAAGTGTACAGGAGAGTATTTACATCATATTTAGGAACATCTTGTATATAAATGAACAATTCCCACTGTAAACCTTGGCCACAGAAAAATTCATAGCACAGTGATGCATTGCTTGACAATTTTGTTAGTGAACTCAAAAAGAGTCAAGTCTTGTAGTTGGGATGTTTTAAATTCCTTCGCTATCAATTTTAATATTTTTTTTACAAAACAGATAAAGAAAAGACAGATTTTAAAAAAACCAAACCATGATTACTTGATTTTATCAACTGGATCTCTGATCTTGTAGTAGTTCTTCATTCATAATAAAAAAATAGGTACTTTGTTATTAAAATATCTCCCAATGTACGGATATGGTTTTCTTATACAGCAAATGCACAAATTGAATTGTCTCAAAAGTAAGTTTTCATAATAAAGAAAAGTACAATTCTGACATGTTTTATAAATTATTGAAAGATTCAGAGCTAAATTCAGTAAACTATTTGTGAATTCAGTAAATGATCTATGTATATGGTGTATCACAATTTTGCCCAAACCTTTGATCAGATCTATAACCTGTAAAGCAAAAATTGCACTGGAATAAACCACATGAGGTATCAACAGCCTTCCTAATAAGGCTACCCCTCTGGGACATAATCATTTGCAAAGACTCTTCAGATATTTTCTAGATATCAATCACTATGCACAGCAGATATCTATCACGGTGTGCCCATTACTAAATTATTGACATTTACATAAACAATGAATATCAAATTTCCTTTTAATTTGCATTGTGCTGTCTATCCAAGTCCATCAAGTCTCACAGATATCAGCCTGATGTTCTCATACAAAATCACTCTTCGTGTCTACCCTGTATATTTAAAAATACTGCGTCTATTTACAAATGTCATCAAAGATCTTCACCTAAAAAGCACAACCCTATCATTATCTTATCATACACCTCCACAGAAAATATCCACCTGTGAACGTTATAATATCAACTTGCACTGTATAAAATTAAAAATAATGAACAGACTATCCGTGTAACTTAAACCTAAAGTGGTTATACTTACTTGTAAGGCTTGCAAACTACCCTGAGTTGTTTGTATAACGGAATTTGGTTTGCCGACAAGTATTACATTTCCCTTACTCAGCATAGGCTGTAAATTCGCAGCTGTTTGTATAACGGACTGTTGATTTGGTTGTATTACGGATTGCACCTTAAAATAACGACAGTATATTTATGACGGTTTTGTTACATTCTCCGGAAGAGCATGCAAAATTACTATCATGCACAGTGAGGGGCCAAAGCCCTACCTGTGCTTGCGCTTGAGTGTGAGTAGGTAAGGTAAGCTGTACTATGTTAGTAGCCGCGACCAGATGAGGTTGAGTATTAGTTACGCCTACCGAAGATGCGATCGAGAGCGGAGGATCCGGTGAAGGAGCCAAAGGATCAACTGTCCCATTCTCTTCCACCATCCCTTCCATCACTTATATAACGAAGCACCTGTAAATAATAAACAAAGTTCATGTTTTGTATACGAAAACGATTTGATTACCACCTCCATTATGGGACTTGTTTGATTATGTAGTTTAAAAAAATTTAAAGTAGGTAAATAAATATGCGATTTTTGACGTTTACCCTAACCACAAACAGTAAATAGAAAAGAATTCAAAAGGTCATAATAGCAATGACAGTGCGATTTATATAATTTCGCATTTAATATTTGGAGAAAGGATGATAGAAAAAAGTGTAGAGTGGTTCAAAATGAAGATGAGTAAAATCTAAATTTAAAACACGATTGACTAATATGACGCCATATTCAATACCTTTTCCAGTAATCCCACATAACGAAGGCACGACATTTTAAATGTTCACTACAAATCAAGGTATTTAAATCACTAACCCTCTAAGGGATACCTGGACCATGTCAGATTGTTATTATTCTTCAGCTGGGTACTTACCAGTTACGTATTCCTCGTCACCAGCTTTGCAGCGATCGGAGTGGGTAAAGCAGTCTATACGTAGTAGCCACGTCAAAATTTCTGGGCGGTCGTCACTGGACGAGAACACAAGAGAAATGCGCGTCACAGCAATGGCGGATTCGAGCGCGCTTTGCGTCGTCTCCTCGCCCTTCGCACCACCGCACATTCAAACATTAGTCCAGTTTGTAATCATTCGCTCGTAACATTCTATTTGTTTATAAACTTTATACATTTGAGGATTTTTTGTGTCATCGCGCCAACTGTCCGCATGACGCACTCGTTGCCGGAATTTCAGCTATGCGCGAAATTAACATATACCTACTATAGGAATTCCCTTGCGAATTTTATAATAATGCAATACAATTTCCAATTTCGCAACCAATTTTTATTGCGCGGTAGCGTGGAACATGCGGGTAACAGGTTTTAGATTCAAATTGGGTTTTAATTTTGTACCATTAAGGATCCAATTAATGCAGCCAACGACAATATGTAGGTACTTAGATATACTAATGGCTGCTTGCCGCCGAGGACAAGGGCTCCAAGCCAAAGTCCCAAGTCCTATTTAAACGTAAATTATTTAAGATCCCAAATTCGCAACTTTGATTTAGGTCTTCAACCCCATTTATTAGGTATACGATAGTGGCGGATTTAGCTCAGTTGGAATCCTAAAGAGCGCAGCTTCGTTCGTTGATAGAATTAAGGCGTCGCCACACTGAACGCGGTATGCTCGCCGCGGGCAATCGCTTGCAATCAGCCGCGCGCGATCTTGTATCTCAAGTCCACGCCGCGGTTCGTAACAAAAATGTATTAGTAGATATAGTCTCATTTGTTGGTTAGTAAACATGACGAATTACAAGAAAAGTTCTTCCTCTGACGAGGAATTATTGTTGCTATTGTAGCAACTACTATATTAACAGTGAACCGCGAAGGCGCTTCTGAGTACACAGCATTAATAAACAACGAAGGCAGCTCGCCGCTCGGCGAATTTCGTAGATTACTCTGTGAATTAGAAGATGGCGAAGGAACATACTACATACTTTCGTATGAAAAAATAAAATTTTGAAAAATATTCATACACCGTTGCAGCTTGCAGACAGACTAAACGCTTTCACTGCCTGAGTGTACCACTCTGATGTTTCGTCTCTGATTGAGGATCGCGCGTGGCAAACCGCCAGAAACTCTTGGGGAGGCGATCAAAATCTGCCCGCGCGGCGGATCGCGAGTGAGCAAGCGGTTTACTGCGTCCTGTGTGACATATGCTTCATAAGAAAGGCAGGGTCTAACTTACTTACCTGTAGGTAACTATACCATAACACAGATATGGCAGAGGCATTGAATATTCAATGGCAGAGGGTACAATATGTGTTTCGTTTGCTGTTTCAATAAACAATTTAGTTTCAACTCAACCATCCCTTGCAAATATCTCGTACCGGCTTTGCGTTTTAATCGTAAGCAAGGTAAACACGGAGCATGCGCACAATTTTACTGATTTTATTACTACTGTAAAAAATTAATATCACTGGCTTCTGCAGAGTGTAGACTGCAAGCTTTGCAAAATGATCTTTAGTCCAGACTTCAAATACTTGATTAGATACTATGCGATCAAAAAAGAGTTGTTCTCGAGTCAACTTTGGATTTTTTGTTTACATGGGAAATAGTACTTAACTTGTACTTCCAAAGTTCCCAAGGCGCCTCAGCGTCAATCTTACTCATTATAGTACCAAAACGTACCAACAGTGCTCGGTTGTCATCGCACAGGGTGTTTCTGCTTAAAGTGGACAACGAATAGGAGTTATAAAACTCGTTATAAAAGGAACACTTTTTTAAAGTAAATATTTTTTGTATTGGCTTTTGTTTCCGAATTATAGACCTTTCTTAGTTATTTTAGAAATCTCTACATCGCCATTATTTGTAGTCGGATTTCAAAAAATTAAGGTTTTTTGAAATCAACAGTTTAATATCCGCAACTTTCGTACAAAACTTGTTTACAAAAAATGTACCCTGTATCCCTGCCCATACATTGATTGAAAATCGGTCCCCATGTCCTCGATTGAAAACACCGTGCGGCTTTTCCGCTTCCCGTGACTGTTTAGTGTCTCATTCTCATCCGAGTAAAAGATGTAATTCCAAAAGGTTATTCTGAAATTCCTGCAATTTATGAACCACCTGCAGAATTCTATGCGGGATTGGAAATTAGCATAGATGGTAAGGATACATACGTTCTTCATGAAGAACTCTCCACACACTCGCATGGCTTACACCATTGAATAAAGTATTACTCAATGTTTACACTTACTCCAAGAGTTCCAGTAACTCGACGTGAATCAGAACATCCTCCTCAAACTCAGGGGTCCTTACTATAGTCTCACATCAGGATTACCTTGCCGATTTGCGCACTTAACGATCCAGTTTCAAGTAAATTCGCCGAATCGTGATAAGGCAGTTAAGTTGCGTACGCGCTCTGGTCACGATCATAAGGGATGCTAAGTAGAGCGTCGGAAGTATTAGTGAGTTTGGCGTAATAGCTCTTTAATGTGAGTGTCTCCCACCCCCAAGTGTACCTAAGTGGTGAGTGTTTTGTACAGTCCATCGTGTTGGTTGTGCTTTGTTGTTGGGCTATAGTAAAACCCCTGGCATATATCCGGATATATGTATAGTCCTAGACTCTGGGAATTCTGAGTTTATGCCGCGGTTCCGAGTAGCTCCCTATGATTATACCGCTGCGTGACCTAATCGGTCGATTAGGTCATGGGGTCGACCCTATAATATGAGCAATCTAAGGCCTCATTGCTAACGCAAACAGTTAGGGTTCGATCTCGACCTGCAGGTGTGTTCGCAGGGAGGGCCATGAGAGGCATAGATCGACGGTGGTTGATCTATTGGCCGATGATCCTAGTCAGAGCGCCGAGGCGGGATGTATACCTACTTATCCTAAATAATACACGTGTGCTCAGCGTAACCCTTTCTTAAGTAGGTATGAGCTCCCTTCAGGATATCATCCCCAACGACGGATTCAACCCCAATCGCCAACCGGAGTGTTGGGAGGTCCAGGAGAGCTCAGCGCCAGGGCTGATGCCCCCGGTGAGTTACCTAATTGATAAGAGATTTATTTATTTATTTAAGTATTTATTTATTTATTTATTTATTTATTTATTTATTTATTTATTTATTTATTTATTTATTTATTTATTTATTTATTTATTATCCCTCTCTTGTTCTGGTGGTCTAAATGCTGCCATGTCCTTTAGATTACAGGGGGACGTTTCTAATGAAAGGTGAGTTTACAGTAGATTTGTCGTATCTTAATAGTTAATAAACGTGTAAACAAATGTAGAAAACGAGCTCCTGGGTATGGCTATAGTATGTGCAAAACCAAATTTTAAACCTGATGTTAGTTTTGCTTTTAGTTAAAGTGTATATGTATGAAATTTCATTTAATTGCTTCCATACATAAGAAAGTTGACACTGCATATCACGCACAAAACCAAATTTGGAAACTGGCGTTAAATTTGCTTTTATTCCAAGTGACTATGTATCAAATTTTTAGGCTCAACTTTTGGAATTGTGTTTTATATGGCTAAAGCTATGCCCATATTGAATTTCATGCAATTCGGTTTATAACTAACGGAGATGTCAAAAGGGCTTTCTTTATTTTTTGGCCTGCATTGCCAATTCACGAACTCCGATTTACAAATTTGGATAAAGAATCCACCTGCAACATTATCATCGTAATCGGTCCATTCGTTTACGAGATATCGTGCTAACGGACGGACTCGGACAGACAGACAGACACCGCAAAGTTATAAAATCGCTAGGAGCTCGTCAATAATGAGCCATTACAGATGTTAGTTATGAACCGAATTGCATGAAATTTTGTATGTATGCACCTCAAATAAAAGTAAAACTAACGTGTTTCGTTTGGGAGCCACCCTCAAGAAAGTGGTGAAATTTGCATTTCTTCTTTCATTTTTTTCTCAGCAACCATAAGAGTTAGAAAGACCGGTGGCACGTCTTTCAATAGGTTTTGGGGTATGCCCTTTCCGATTTTGCCAATTTTTTTGCAAAACTCCTACCGCGAAAGAAATATTCTCTTTTCGATGAAAGTTGGTCTCTGGGGGTTTTTGAAGATGAAAATCATGACTCTGATATTAGTGTTTGAAAATTCGAAAAAAATTCCACTGCAATTCCCGGAAAGAATTCCACGACATTTGTTGTGTACATACTTACTGGATGAGTTAATAAAGAACAAAATTAATTGTCGAACAGTTTTTTAAATTCACTTTTCAAACAAAAATTATACTCATTTGAAAATGGGTTCTTCTGAACAAGCATAATAAACTGAAATGTGCAGGAGCTAAAGCTTTGTATAAGTTTGTGGGTAGGTAGGTATTCTCCTTCCGATGATAGAGAAAATGTTTCTTGTTTGCATAACTTAAAATTTTTGCGCTTCGAAGAACTACCGGACCTCATGATCCCTATTAGTTACACGGATTGCTCTATAAGTTCGTTTTCGCCACGGTGTAAACTAAAAAGAGCTCGTTAAATTGTCAAGCAACATAGTGCTGGATCCAATGCAAGAAAGAGACGGCAAGTTTGGTTTCGCAATCTATTACACTTCTGTTAGTGGAGTCGTACGGTGTTTTGTTACAAAAAACACGATTGCGCTCATTTGAAAAGAGAAAGACAAATCGAAAGAGATACTAAGAAATTTATGTACAACGTAAACTGTAAGGGATTAAAATTATGGCATGTCCGGTGACTTGGCGTAATCATTTGATTAGCCTACCCGCTTCCGGGTTTACATTCTATTATAACTAAGGAAAAGGAACCCACCTTTCCTGGTTCAAAATTCATTCATTTAACAATTTCTTGATTATATCGTTGCTTATAGATATTATATTAGGTAAGTATTCATAATAGTAATGTTTAGAAAAAAACAAATCTACATATTATATACCTATCGATATGATATGTAAGTACATGTAATTATATGTTTTGAAAGTATAAATTATTAATTCCAGTGTGCTACAACATGTCATTTTGATGTAGGTAACCAGTTTTTTTTCTTTTTTGCTATTGCTGTTATGACGATAAAATCGTGTAGAATTGACCTTTCAAATAATTGCACGGTAATTAAGGATATAAATTAAATATACGTAAATATCTTATGTAGGTAATCAAATAAAAAACTGTTTAGGTTTGCTCTCACATAAAGCAGAGTTTGTTAGTAAATTGCGTTGACCACTTGTTGATAATAGGTGTTTACATGAAGTCATAGTAAATAATCAATATTGTTGCGTAACAGGTAGATACCCAAATAAATATTTAATAGTAAATTTAAAAAAAAATCCTGCTATGTTTAAAAAATCAATATGTTTATTTGATGGATAGCAACATTATAGTATGTATAATTTTGCAAATATTTACGTGAGGTTGCGGAGAAGAAATAGTGTCAAGAGATCTGAGATACTTATTTCAAATTCAGTTTTTAAGGAAGACGTAAGAAAAAGCAGTAGGTACCTATATTTCGATCGCTTACGTCATTCGCGTAGTTACACTGACGTCATTATGATTCATCTGGTTTCTGGTCACGCGACGCAGTGGAAAGTCGCATTTCACTCTTTTATATTATAAACAATGCTTTTTATGCCAATGCTTTAAACTTTTGAATATAAATTTTCTGTCTGATTAAAAAATACCTCATTATTGTCATTTATCGTAAACAACATGGCTTCTACTGGTGTTTCGTACTTTTCCATGCGTGTTTTTTTCCTAAGCTAGGGGTAATCTATGGAAAGCAAATATGTTTATAAATAGAAAAGTACCCACCCATTTACGGGATGATTCATTCTTTATCTATATGACACTTTCGAAAAACGACCAGAGGTTTATTCCCCCTAATGATATGCAATACAACTTACTTTGTTGGTACATAAGTCACATACTTACCTAAATATTTACATTTTGATATAATTTTTATATTGTTCTTTTATGCTATGTTCTTCTGTCTACACGTTTCTAGTGGTCCAAAAAGAATGCATGTGTACACTTTGTCCGAGAAAACGAGAACCACTATGGACATTCTAGAAAGGGTAAGTGATACAAAATTGGTTAAATAGGAGAAAAGTAGCGCAATCAAAGGTCCAAGAAGATAGAGTTTAAACATTCCTGACATTTTTTTTGGTTTTTGAAATATGGAAAAATCGGATTTTTTGATTTTACGAACTTTTTTCTGGAGTTAATATTTTACTGAAACTGGAAACAGGAAGTGTCTGTAGTATACTTTCCCTATCATCCGATAACCTCGGCGAGGGCGAGGAAGACCTCTCAGATGATTCTCAACTCTCTTAATAAAATCCATTCAACTCGTTGCTTCAACTGTGATGGATTCTATTATCGCGTCGAAAGGATACAACAGCTAATCTCAGAACTTTCACCTGACATGTTGTGCTTTCAAGACACCATTTTAAACAACAGCACACAAAATTTCTTAATGACTTCGAAGGCTATCTTAGTAGGTACTGTATACTATAAATGGTGCCCCACTACAAGTTGTAAAGATGACTTAATTTTGGACCCAACCTTTGATAGTAAGCTCGTTTGGAGAAGCACATCGCAGAATTCAGAAACTAAAGGCAACTGCATGAAGAGAAGAGAATGAATATCTTACTTACTTTCGACGCGAACAACTTCTTTTAAGTTAGTTCTCGAGGGCATCTGATAATAAAAAAAATCCCGTTACTTAATGCACAGCTCAAACTAGCAATTCCAATCACCAAAATGTTAAATGATCTTATAAGACCCAATGACTTTACTAAAAAACTCGCTCGTTTAATAATCAGGGAGGGAGGGAGTAGGTGCGTTTTAATAGATTACGTTAATGAAAAGAACTGTCTGGTGAGACAAAGAAAAAGGAAATTTTCGTCAGCTCAATGCGGAATGAACTCAGTAGCACGAACAATACCGGAAGTATTACACATGCAAGTAAACCGACTCAACTATCAGGCCGTAAAGTGACATATTCAGCCAAGAGTTGTTTTCTATCGCAGACTTTAGTGACAAATTATTTCATTTTAACTTTGGACGAGTGTTTGTCATATGCACATTGGACAGTCGCTATACTCTGTGATCATTTATTACTAACGACGTCAAATGGAGACTATGTAGTTGTTACTGTAGTGACGTTATCAGTTGAAAATCGGAGATCAATTTGTTGCTCAAGCTAAACGTAATACTTAACAATTTTGTGCAGCAAGTCTGTAACCATCAGCACACTCACTGTTGACTGTGTATATGGTCTGCTGATGGAAGGTTTTCTAGCTTGTGATTTGCGGTGTACCATATACAACGTCTTTAGCTGTTTTGCTAATTCAGAATCGCTTTATTTCAAAAACCTTTTATAATGTTCGTGTTTCATTCATCCATTTCTTCAGTTCCTCAATTTGATTTAAAACGCTTCTTTTACTGGTTCCACCAATTGCCTGGTATTGCTCGACGCTGTTCTCATAATTCCAGATTTTGGAGAAGTCGTTGCTAAAGTGCTCACTAAAAGTACAACAGCGTAATAAGAAAAAAGTCTGTTCGATTACTACTTGCCTTATTGACTTTAATTCATTATAAGATAATGATTGTAGCGGAACGTTGCTTTTTTCCGCGTGAGCGACTACTTGCCCTGCAATGTGATGCGCTTTTCGGAAGGGTAGACCTTTACGAACAAGGTAGTACGCAATGTCAGTGGCTAACATTTCAACACTTAAACCACCTTGACACTTTTCTTCGTTCAGCTATGGTTGCTTATAATGCGAGTGCATTTTTTCATATAAATATCTACCTTTAACGTTTTAATTACACCAGTCGCAACTTTTAAAATTGACTGCAACTTCTGGAAAGCAGCAAACATTTCTGATTTATCGCCTTGCATATCCTTGTTGTAGGTAGAGGGAAGCCCTTTCATTGTCATCATTAAGCTGCAGCACTAATCAGAAAATAGTAAAATCGAGCCGACGATTTTTAGTTACCTTTCCAAACAGACCACCGCCAATTCCTCTAATCAACTCTAACGAATCTGGGTTTCGTTTTTGCGGCATCAGACTACTTCCCGTCGAAAACGCTTCGTCTATTGTAACGTAGCCAAATTCTTTTGAACAAAATATAATTAAATCTTCAGCCCAACGACTCATGTGAACACCGGTTAAGGAAGCCCAAAATAAAAACTCAGCTAGAAAAGAGCGCCTGATCAATTTGGAAAGCGATATAGGACTTACCTATAAAATCTCTGTCAGAAACTGCTTGCATGCTGTTATGGGTAAGTTCAGCAAAATTTAAAGATGCCGCTAGCAACTTCCGGTCTATATTAAAAGGATTTCCCGCTAAAGCTCCACTACCAAGAGGCATTATGTTGACACGTTTCTTGATCTCTTGCAATCGGTCCACGTCGTTTTTCAACGACCATGCGTGACTGTAAAAGGCGGATTTAATTTTTGTTAAACAGTTTGGGGTACCTTAAAAGCCAATGACTCCACCTCACCGGCTGTGCCCGTTGTAAGTGCGTATACCCTGGCATCAAAACACCAACCTCTTCAGCGGATCTCTCCAAAGTTACATTAATTAATTCTAGCATAAGCGATTTGAGTTCAGTTAAACGCGATCGCAACCAAAGCTTCATGTCTGTAGCAACTTGATCATTGCGACTACGCCCAACGTGCAATTTTGTTGCCGGTTCGCCTATTAATTCCTGCGGGGAGACCATGTACAAAACTCACGCATGGTACTGTTACCTTTAGCCGTCTTTCGTTTGCCGTGTGTATATCCTCGTCGTCCTTTTTAATAATAAAACTCCCTTCATCCCACTCTTTCTTTATGCAATTTAGACCGTCGCAAATTCGATCCCGTTCTTCTTCCGTTAGTAGATTGACGGTGACCAATGACTTTGCGTATGCTATACTACCGGCGATATCTTCCGCGTATAATTCCTTGTCGATGTTTATAGAGGAATTTAGCTTTTCCAATTCTTGATTGGGAGATGTGGAAAAACGACCTCCCCACAGCTTATCGGCCTGGCAAATGTTTCAAATTAAGCGTGTAAACTTGAGTATTTCGGAGATTTAGAGGATAGTGACGGTGACTTCAAAAGAACAGTATGCTCTCTTACCATTACTGTATTATTCGAAGGTATCTCTAGAAACTGAAGCACAAACGTAGTTGAAATCAATAGAATCTTGCACTTTTATATAAACAAATTGATAGATAAGTAGGATCGTGCAAATATTAACTAGCCAAACATTGAGGTTTGATAAGACTTTGCGGTTGACTGAGAAGTAACGACAATGGAACAAACAAATAGCACAATCCAAAATCTATTTACGTTACAAATTGTTGGCAAATAGTGCAGGTAAATTATATTCTATTTGCTATTTGAAGTTGGAAGACTTTTACGACGAAAGATTTGAGTCATTTTGATTTGTTACTCCGATACCAGGGATAAATTCTAGGATAAGCTCGCGAAATTCTGTCAGTTACGGAGGTGTAGAGTTGTAGACTTCCAAAGGATTCGTTAAGGACGAATTTTTACCAGTAAGTATTCGCCAGTTGTTCGCAGATCAGCAAAGGGTCTAATTCCTTAACTTGCATCCCTAGCTTATTTAGAAAAATGTGTTATCCTCCCTCCCTATTTGACCACTCGCATGCTAGTAGGAGAGGTGTTGCATCTGGATAAACAATTATCTTTTTGACGGGTAATAACCTAATAACCGTTTTCAAGCACCAAGAATTCGAATCAAACAAAATCTCGATGATGTCAATCCATCTGTCGGTTTGTCGGTCTGTCTGTCTGTACTCCCATTTCCGACTAAACGGAATTTTTTACCACTCGCATTCGGAGACCAGATTTTTAATCCGGCTCATATTCAGTAGCACCCTGAGTAGCACTGATCCTTAAACTCGTAGAAATCGATTGGTGAAGGTACGACATCGCTGTCTTTTCGTACGCGGATTTGGCGAGGAACAGAGTGACAAAACCATCGAAGGGGAGTTTTTTTTCTTTCGAAAAATCAACTCTTTAGCGCACGCGCAACGAAAACGTAATGAAAGTCGTACAAGATCGGATTGCGCAGCTGCTGAAAGCAGTGTTTTGCTATGGAGCAATTGTCTGGTGGCCTAGAACCAGACTCTCCACAATTTTAGCACTTTTTAATCATGACCATGAGCAAAGAATAGCGGGCTTTGCTTGCACTGGCGCAATGCGAAAAACCCCCACAGTCGTCTTGGAGGACCTTCTCGGTCTGCCGCCACTAGATCCCCGCGTGAGAGAGCAGGTCATTCTGGCATCTTTGCGTCTGGAAACTAAGGGGCTGTTGAATAGCAGAGGAATTGAGGTGGGCTATTCTCGAGTTCTATGCGAGGCGATTAAAAGATTGCCTACCCCAGAAGGGCGATAGGACTCACCCCTCAATTCTTATTACATCCTGTTGATGCAGAAGTGGCATTCCAACCAGACATATTCATCTACACGAATGGATCTAAAACATTGGAAAGAAAGTCAGCCCGACTGGCGTTTATGGTTTAGTACAGACGCGTATCTAGGGAGGGGCAGGCATGGCACGTACCTTGGGCGCCGTTCAAAAGAGGGGCTAAAATTACCAATTATTAAATTTAAAAATTAACATAAACCACATAAACGACATCATATGAAACTATGGAATGAGTGTACCTAAGTAGTTTATTTTATCTGTTTTAATTAATCCCGACCGACAGATTGTTATAGGCTTGAGCAGCCCGCCTCCGACGTCTCTGTAGTCGGGGAGATCGGAGGAATGAAACACGGTGACAATAAAATTTAGTCGACTTAGGTTCTTCTAGGTCCTGTTGTTCACCCATAGCGTAGGATTATCCTCATGCGTGTTACAACTGCATTTGCCACCTGGGACTGCCACTGTTTAAATAGCGTGACAGTGCTGTCAATAAAAGTCGCCGACACAAACCTTCATATCTCGCTTATATACACGTTATTCCAAAAAGACCTTCGCCAATAGATTTCTATGAGCCGGCTATGGACCGAGTGGCGTAACATTCCCACATGGCGCCTAGGACAAGAATTAAAATTGCGCCCCTTTGTAAATTACCTTAATTTAGGTAAAACGGGATACGAAGAATTGCATTCGATTTTCAGTAGGGGAATTTTTTGTGCACCGTTCGAATCTAGTTAAAACAGTTAGCATTCGGAAACACGACTTTTAATCCGGCTCATATTCAATAGCACTGCTCCTTTAACTCGCAGAAATCGATTGGCGAAGGTCAACATCGCTGTCTCTTTTTCTTTTCGAGTTAGACGAGGGACAGACGAACAAAACCATCACATATGGGAATTTTTTCCGTGTCAGCGACTATTATTGATAGAACTGTTATGTTATTTAAACAGTGATAGCTCCACATGTCAAATGCAATGCAGCTGTAACTCGGATGAGGGTAATCTTACGCTATGGGCAAACAGTAGGTGTTGGTATCCTACGGATGGGTGTACAGTAGGGCCAGGGAGACTCTTATTCGCTATGAGGAACAAGTAGACTGAATTTTGTTATCGTGTTTCATTCCTCCGACATCCCTGACTGTAGATACGTCGTAGGTGGGCTACTCCGGCTTGCTTTAAGCGTTATCGTGTAAATACAAGCGGTCGGTGGGGATTAATTAAAGCAGGCAAAATAAACTACATATTCTAAAGAACATCTCTCATGGCAGTCTAGTCCAGCTTAGATTCTTTGCATTGTTTTTAATCTTCATGAACGCATTTGGAAGTCGCGGGCGAGGTGCAGTCCCTACGACGGCTCTACGAAATCTGGCAGAAGAACGCTCGTAGTAAGACGAGTGCATGTGTACCTACCGGGGACATGTAATGAACAACTGTAGGGACGGGGCTACATGATGTGAGGTCGGTGACATCTGGGCGCCATCCTTGAGCGTGGATTACTAACGTGGTGATTTCTCAGTTTTTTCCTATTTTTGGTTTTGTTCCAATTGCTCTCAAACTGGTGTCGTCGGAAAGATCGAGTAAATTCACACAACCCCTGCGTAATAGCATTTATAGGGCGAAATTAACCACTTTCTGTAAGGCGCATATTTTCGAGGGGTTGTCGATTTCGGGTGCCCAAAATTTACCTTCCGCTGCGAAGTTACTTCATCCGGTTTAACATTTTTTAAAGCGCGAAACGCGACCTCTCTTTCTCGTGTCGCCAATAGCAGCTCGAGCTGTGAGAAGTGCCCCAAAAATTGAGTATTATTTTGTAGAAGATTTTCGGTAAAATTCACCAATGGCGCATTTATAGGTCTGTAGGGGCGTCAGAAGTGGGAATGTAGTCACTCCGGACAAGATCTGACGAATGGTCAAACGCGGATACATATATTTGATAAACTTACTTTGCGACTTTCATTTTGCAATACGAATACATATATGCGACTGCGTAATAATATAGTGATCCTGATCTGCCATACAAAAATCCCGTCGATCTCACACAAGGACTTTGATCATTTCTTTTAAAAGTAATACATAACTAGACCATCCAAAATGAATGTTGTGAGAATTTCTGTAAAAAGAATTTTATCGGGGGGAGGGCGAGTTGTATAAATTTTGAGGTGGGGGTAACTGGTACTGCGGCGGTAAAAAAACTATGGGAAACCTACCATTCAACTTCTACTATTTAAATAGACGTGTTTTTGCAATTTTTGAATCAAAATTATAAATTACAATCGGTGGTTCGTTTTGAAATGAAAGCCCTTCATGTCATGCGGGCAATGTGAATTTTCGAGAGACAGTAAAAAAATTTGAATATGGTAGTACTAGTTTGGTGTCCCATCCTCCATATCGCACATACACAATGTTTGACATATTCTACAAAGGGGCCATTTACTTGATAAATAAAGTTAATCCCTTCAAAACAAGCCCTCTAAGAAATTATAACTTCAAATTGATAAAAGCCAAACAAAGTTTTAATAGTAGGAGAGTAGTGGACACAAAATCTGGGTAAAAGACGTGATTGTTTGAATGCTAAAATATCAAAAATAGGAAAGTGTCAAAAAATAACTTATTACAACTAAAAATGAAAGTTAACAAAAAATTTGAGCGGGTAGCGTATCCCTATTTTGTGCGGTATGATAAGAACTCGGTGACCCACATTTTAACGAAAATGACGTAGGTACCTCAAAAGGTGCTTTAGGGTTTAGGCGTTGTTGTTTGAATTCTTTTCATAACGATTTTGAGTAGATCAACGCTTTTTTCAATGTAATGTGTAGGTACAGTTTTGTTTGAAATATCCATCAATATGGAAATGCATCTTTGACATTTATTTTTGATTTTGAGAAATAAAAAGTCTCAACAGTTCAAGCATGCTTTTTGTTGATCTACATCACTAGGCAAAAGATGGAGAAAGTTGCATATAATACCATCTATTTTCTTTGCAAAATACTACAGAAGATAAGAAAACAAACTGGTCCGATTAATTTCATTTACAACGATCAATAAGTCAAAGTTTAGTGAAAAGGTTACCCCACCACAAACATTGAGAAAGAATTACATTACATCTTACCATTTCCATTTTTTGAAAGGCGACTGGCGAGTGCTGAATTACAACTAATCATCTGAAACAATTTCACCATGTCCTTACCTAATTACCCACGAAATCATTCCCCTTTGCTGACGTATTCATACTTTGACCCATCCGTTTCATCGACTAGATCTACAATTTGATATCAATTAAGTGTGTTAATATATTTTATTAANCCAGGGAGACTCTTATTCGCTATGAGGAACAAGTAGACTGAATTTTGTTATCGTGTTTCATTCCTCCGACATCCCTGACTGTAGATACGTCGTAGGTGGGCTACTCCGGCTTGCTTTAAGCGTTATCGTGTAAATACAAGCGGTCGGTGGGGATTAATTAAAGCAGGCAAAATAAACTACATATTCTAAAGAACAAGTGCATGCTTCATCGGTACCCCTTGCGCCCATCACTCAATCGATGGAATTCTTTGATTTGATGTCGTTTAAGGCAGAAACGCATTAGGGAGTCCTCTCATGGCAGTCTAGTCCAGCTTAGATTCTTTGCATTGTTTTTAATCTTCATGAACGCATTTGGAAGTCGCGGGCGAGGTGCAGTCCCTACGACGGCTCTACGAAATCTGGCAGAAGAACGCTCGTAGTAAGACGAGTGCATGTGTACCTACCGGGGACATGTAATGAACAACTGTAGGGACGGGGCTACATGATGTGAGGTCGGCGACATCTGGGCGCCATCCTTGAGCGTGGATTACTAACGTGGTGATTTCTCAGTTTTTTCCTATTTTTGGTTTTGTTCCAATTGCTCTCAAACTGGTGTCGTCGGAAAGATCGAGTAAATTCACACAACCCCTGCGTAATAGCATTTATAGGGCGAAATTAACCACTTTCTGTAAGGCGCATATTTTCGAGGGGTTGTCGATTTCGGGTGCCCAAAATTTACCTTCCGCTGCGAAGTTACTTCATCCGGTTTAACATTTTTTAAAGCGCGAAACGCGACCTCTCTTTCTCGTGTCGCCAATAGCAGCTCGAGCTGTGAGAAGTGCCCCAAAAATTGAGTATTATTTTGTAGAAGATTTTCGGTAAAATTCACCAATGGCGCATTTATAGGTCTGTAGGGGCGTCAGAAGTGGGAATGTAGTCACTCCGGACAAGATCTGACGAATGGTCAAACGCGGATACATATATTTGATAAACTTACTTTGCGACTTTTATTTTGCAATACGAATACATATATGCGACTGCGTAATAATATAGTGATCCTGATCTGCCATACAAAAATCCCGTCGATCTCACACAAGGACTTTGATCATTTCTTTTAAAAGTAATACATAACTAGACCATCCAAAATGAATGTTGTGAGAATTTCTGTAAAAAGAATTTTATCGGGGGGAGGGCGAGTTGTATAAATTTTGAGGTGGGGGTAACTGGTACTGCGGCGGTAAAAAACTATGGGAAACCTACCATTCAACTTCTACTATTTAAATAGACGTGTTTTTGCAATTTTTGAATCAAAATTATAAATTACAATCGGTGGTTCGTTTTGAAATGAAAGCCCTTCATGTCATGCGGGCAATGTGAATTTTCGAGAGACAGTAAAAAAATTTGAATATGGTAGTACTAGTTTGGTGTCCCATCCTCCATATCGCACATACACAATGTTTGACATATTCTACAAAGGGGCCATTTACTTGATAAATAAAGTTAATCCCTTCAAAACAAGCCCTCTAAGAAATTATAACTTCAAATTGATAAAAGCCAAACAAAGTTTTAATAGTAGGAGAGTAGTGGACACAAAATCTGGGTAAAAGACGTGATTGTTTGAATGCTAAAATATCAAAAATAGGAAAGTGTCAAAAAATAACTTATTACAACTAAAAATGAAAGTTAACAAAAAATTTGAGCGGGTAGCGTATCCCTATTTTGTGCGGTATGATAAGAACTCGGTGACCCACATTTTAACGAAAATGACGTAGGTACCTCAAAAGGTGCTTTAGGGTTTAGGCGTTGTTGTTTGAATTCTTTTCATAACGATTTTGAGTAGATCAACGCTTTTTTCAATGTAATGTGTAGGTACAGTTTTGTTTGAAATATCCATCAATATGGAAATGCATCTTTGACATTTATTTTTGATTTTGAGAAATAAAAAGTCTCAACAGTTCAAGCATGCTTTTTGTTGATCTACATCACTAGGCAAAAGATGGAGAAAGTTGCATATAATACCATCTATTTTCTTTGCAAAATACTACAGAAGATAAGAAAACAAACTGGTCCGATTAATTTCATTTACAACGATCAATAAGTCAAAGTTTAGTGAAAAGGTTACCCCACCACAAACATTGAGAAAGAATTACATTACATCTTACCATTTCCATTTTTTGAAAGGCGACTGGCGAGTGCTGAATTACAACTAATCATCTGAAACAATTTCACCATGTCCTTACCTAATTACCCACGAAATCATTCCCCTTTGCTGACGTATTCATACTTTGACCCATCCGTTTCATCGACTAGATCTACAATTTGATATCAATTAAGTGTGTTAATATATTTTATTAATAGTACAATCACAAAACCAAAGCATTTAAAAAATCACATTACTTGAGAAAGGTTAAAGTAACAAAAATAATTTATCCTACACAATAAATTTATCAGAATTTCTTAAACGAAGCGAATTAAAACTATAATAAAATGAACATTTAAAAAATAATAAATAGCAAACACATTTTTTGCGAATTAATAAAATAAAATAAAAATTCAGAAACTCTGTAGGAACATATACTATACTAAGGTAAAAATAATAATAGTAGTCGTATACCATATTCTTCAATACCTGCTATCAGTTCATTTACTCCGTTATCGCCTTAAGACTTCAAATTCGTACACTTCTTAATATTCCTGAAATAAAACAAGTCAAATAGAATATTTATTGAGTAGTCAAAAATAATTAGGAATCCAAAATTTTGTTTAGTACTACGCTAGGTTGCAGATTAAAATGCTACCAGTTATACTAACGAGACAGTTACTTTGCTACAAGTTAGATTTGGGTGGACGTAGTTGATGACAACATGCATTATAGATGCGTTTCAAACAATCTCATGAAATACTGTGAGTCCAAGATAAGATTTGGGAAATGTCTGATCTTGAACACACTTATATTATAGCACCTACCTGGATACACTCAAATTATGCGTATAGAAGCACAGGTAATAAAAAAAGGAAATCTACATAGTGTGTTTCAGCGCACAAACATCGTAGTTGGTTTTTGTATGTAACGAGTGTGTTTGTGCGCTAAAATCAGTGAAACATTGTTGGTGTGCGCTCTACCTAGCGTAGTTCTAAAATATAGAATGCCTCATGAACATAAACACGGGCATTCATTCTTTTCTACTTTTCGCCTTCTATACAGGGGTACATACGCAGTAGAAATGCGATGAGTGATTGCCTCCCTGCTGGTTGTATTTGCGTTTCTGTCACTTCTGGAGGGCGTTGTTCCTGTTAAAATTTATTATGCACACGTGGACAGATGAAACTATTCGATTTAACTTACTTATAGTTTCTTTCTTTAACGTACCCTTCTTTCTTATATCTTCATTTTTTGTTCTGTGACTACGCTCTCGACTTTGTGCTTTTTCTGCCGTGCTTCTGATGGTAGATACTGCTGTTTTGTGTCGGATTGTTGGAAGCGCTCCCACGGGGACTCTAGAAGAATACATTTTTTTAAAGTCACACTAATATATAGGTACCATTTTGAGCATTGAAAATGAAATCCCTTTACGGACTCAAAGTAAGGGTAATTCACTGGAAGTCTTAGAGCAACACTGTTGAGTGGGTCTATTTGTTTAAATTATTCGTCACAATAAAAGTCAGTGGACAAAGACATCATTATGCGAACACTAGAACTACTTTTACTCGAGAGGATGAAAAATAGTGGAGTGTATATACATACATACAAATTTTGAAATGGGCATTAATTTTACTTTTATTCGAAGTGTCTACATATGGAACTTTTTATAAATGTTTTCGTAAATAGCATTGCGCATTGTCTACATTAGAAATGTCATTGAATACCTCCATAAATATAACATACAGCATGCGTTAACAGAAATTTTGAAACCGGTATTAGTTTTAGTTTCATTCAATGTACCTACATATGATATTTCGATTAACTGCTTTCATAAATAAGAAAGTTACCATTGTGCATGTGCATGAGCAAAACCAAATTTTAAAACTGGTGTTAGATTTGCTTATATTCCAAGTGCCTATGTATTAAATTTCATTTAAATGCTTCAGTAAATAAGGAAGTTCGCATTGCGCATGCGCAAAACCAAATTTTGCTACTGGCGTTAGATTTGTCCTTATGCCAAATGCCTATGTATAAAATTTCATTTAAATGCTTTCATAAATAAAAAAGTTAACATCGCACATACGTTAAACCAAATTTTTGACACTGCGCATGCGCAAAACCAAAAAATATCAGTATGCACGGAATTCTTGGACCAAGCCCTTTCAAATGAGCCCATATCACCCAAATCGGTTCAGTGGTGTAGGAGTAGGTACGTGTGACGGACAGACGGACGGACGACAAAGTGCAGCCAATAGCGATTTTTCACTTTGAGGAAAATACGCTAAAATCGGATTGGCCATGCACAAAACCAATTTTTTGATTCGGTATTCGTTTTACTTTTATCCGAGGTGCCTACATAAAAAATTTCATGCAATTCACGGACAAGGAGATGTCAAAAGGGCTTTCCTTATTTACTTTGCCTTCACGAACTCCGATCTACAAATTTGATAAAGAATCCATCTGCTAAATTTCATCGTAATCGGTCCATCCGTTCTCTTTTAAATCGATGGACACGAAGCCATCGAGCGACCGATCGTACGATTGGGAAAAATCGTAACCGTCTAGTTTAAAACTCGATGCTAAAAGAGCGAAATATTATCTTGGCAAATCCAACATTTCTTTCCCTCTCTCAATATCTTTGTCTCATCAGAAATACCATCATACCTAACCTGGAGAAAATCGTAGTGGAGGTTTACGTCAACGTGGAGCTCTCCGTGGGGTGTTTCGCAGTGGTGTGGCATTGCTGATTCTCGATGAAATTTCTTGCAGTGGTGTCGTATATAATTGGTTTTTCGTAGAATGCTTTGTTGTGGAATGCCAAGAAAGAAGAGGGCGATCGCAGGCTAGAGGCTAGAACACTAAAAAGCTACATCCAGTGGCACTTGACAAGCTAGCAAGGGATACGAAATGGGGAACCTCAAAAACGGCCGAGATGTTACATCATACCCTCATGAGCATATGTGACAAGACGATGACCCTGGGCCCTGAGGAAGAAAAGCGGCTCACCAGGGGTACACTGGTGGACCGACGAGATTGCCCAACAACGTAAGGCCTGCACTGCAACAAGGATGAGGTTCCAACACAAGTTACGAATCGAGATGGGCGCGACAGAGGAGAAGGCGGCTCTGAAAAGAGAAAGAGACCAGTTGACGACGTTTTCGGTCGCTTGATGGTGAACAACTAAAGGTAAGAACGGAAGAGCTAGTGAAGGGGCGATCAACGACCCTTGCGCTTAAGCGCATAGTCTTAGAGGTGAAGCAGGCAAACGAAGGGAGGACGTGGAGGATACGTGAAGTATGTCTGGTGACGTCACTAGAAAATAACCTCCAATTCGTCCTCCAGACAGAAGATAATGGATGCTTTAAGGGAGCTGCAAGTCCAGAAAATTATACACAGTTATCTCACCGATAGAAGGACTACAGCCAACAAACCGGACGGTGAAAAATAATATTTGAGGCCACAACATGGGCAAATAATCAATGGGTATATAGGTTCGACTAACGAAATTTGTTTCCGAATCCTTTCTCGAGGGCGATCTAGTTTTCCAAAGTTGGACGACCTATTGGGTAGTTTTAGATGCCGTATGATTAAGGTAGAGTGTATTTTTGCCATTTGTGCTCAGTACAGACCGTTTTCGACCGTTTGAAATTTGGACGTTGAGGCGGTAATTAGAAATATCCCTTAAAGACTCGGTCTAATCATGTTATACCTGTTTGATTTTTTTAAAGAAATTTTTCATTGTGATGTTCGTGTACCATCTCGAATTGAAAAAAGCAAAAAATTTCCGTTTAAGCTCAATATTAAATACCGCAATTCTCCTAACTAAGCTAATAGTGAGTTTATCATTTTCATTAGCTCAATATCATTATCTCATTACGAAATAGCCAATAGAAACAAGGGTTTATTAACCGTCGCTAACCAACGATACCATACCTCTTTTTCTATTTGCCATTTCTGAATGATCTAATGGTAGTGAACTAATCATAATGATTGTATTATATAACACAACTGTTAATATACCTATAAATTTTGTCTTCAAGTAGTATGCAAAACAGCAGATATTTCGTATTTTTCCATTATATTAAGGGGTGTTTATTGTAGTAAAATAGATAGTGACCACTGATGATATTGTCGTAAAACTTTGGATACTGTATGTTTCAGTAAACATAAGATTTTTGAAGGGCTGTATAGGAAGGCCGGAAGTGAATTTCAATATATGTCAATAATATTTTGGATTTTGTTTATTGATTTGCCTTCAAAGTGGTCGAAGGCGGAAGAGATCATTTTTTAAATTTTCAGGCTTGAATCAAATAAGATTAATTCAAAAACCGCTCGATTTAGGTGTATGGTAATTTATAACATTTAAAATATACAAGTGTGGCTTAACTTCCGGAAGAAATCAGTACTCGTGAAAATATTTCAGCTGAGACACTTTTCTTCCCTGTTAGATCAACAATGTAAAGAGCAAATTAAAAAAAATTAGTCACTCACCTTTCTTCGCTTTTTCCTTTCTCTTCCTGCCTTCTGCTTTTGGACTCAACCGAATGGCTATCGCCAACCTGCACGGTTTTGCCTTTTCGAGCCACACGCGATTTTCGTACTGGAACATCTATACTAATGGGCAAATCTTCCGACGAGCTCCCGTGCGATTGCAACAGCGCCTCCCTGCTGCTCGCCCTTTGCAACCGTCGCGCCTTTGTGGCGGCCCTTGAGGAACTCGAGTCGCTACCCGATTTCTTTCTGTGTTTATCCGTATCAACAACGCTCCGTCGATTTGTACCTACAGTCGTCGCTTTTCTTGCTTCCGTTATGCTCTCAACTGAAGAGGTCGAAGATGTGTGTTTCAGTTTTGGTTTCGAAAGATCAGTTTTTTCAGTACAGTTATGTTTGGTGACGCTCCTTTGTTTCCAGGACTTTGTTTCCGAGATCGTGTCCAACTTTTCCTTCTTGTAATTTCTCTGTTTCTCTTCTAACGATTGCTTTTCAGCTTCTTCCGCGTAACCGTTGACGGCTTGAAGGATTTGATCGGCAGCCTTTGTGAGTTCGTCTAGTATACTGCTATCGAACTCCTTTACAGTAGTTTTGTGTCGAGTTTTCTTTATTTCTTCCACATTTTCGTAGATAGGAGATTTTGCACGCGGTTTGTAGTAAGTCCTCGATTCAGGTTTTACAGGTGACTTGGTGGTGCAATCTACATTACCTTTCTTATACGGTTTTGGTGAAGGCGCCACTTTGACTCCAAAATACGCCATTTCAGACCGCCGTGGGTTTCTTAAAACAGATCTGTTGGGAGACCTTTCCGAGTCGACATCGCTGTCTTTATCTTTAATCGTGCTGTAGTGATTTTCTGTTGTAGGTGACGGGGTGTGGCCTTTTCGCTGTACAACCGGACTGTGCAGCGTGTTATAGATATGAATTTTAGGGGTTGGCGAACGTTTCCCCCATAGTTTTGCCATAGTCACGCTCTCTGGAGTGCTTTCTTTCTTTATTCCTCCAAGTTTCGCAGTTGGCTCAGTTTTAGTCAGATTTTGCCCGACGAGAGATGGACTGGACAGTTTGTCAGATGCTCGCAACTCTTGTCTTTTAGGATCACAGGCAACTCTTCTTAAAACTACTGGAGAATTTGGCGTTTTGCTAATTATCTTAATCTTGCGTCTATCCGAAGAAGGACTGCTGCCCATTGTAGGCGTTCTGGTAAAAGGCTCTTTTCTTACATCAGTAATCGTTTGGTTTACGTTTAAGGAACCTAAACAGAGAAAATATTAAGAACACATACCTAATGGCGTGAGTTTTTCTGTTATTTGATTTGCGATTAAAATACCTTTTTCTAAACGTGCATTGGAATTGAATTTTACTTCGGATGCGTCCGAAATAATTTTGGCCCTTTGTTGCTGCATATTTCGGAATGCTCTCATCTTACTCCAACTTCCAGATACTACGCTACTAGTTGCGTCATCGAGTTCTTTAACTGGTACGCTTTCACTAGCATTCATCAATTGCTGCACCTCCTTATCTGCCTCACTATCACTTGGCCAATCTTCATATAGTTTTCTTAGTGCTTCCAGTTGTTGAGGAATGTTCGATTTACCTTTAGCCTTTATGTTCGCTTCTTGAATTTCGTTTTTAAACGTATTTAGAACTAAGGAGGTCGACTTGAAGTTACTAATTGACGCACGTGGTAAACGAACGGTGGGTTCTAATGTGACACTTCTCTCAATAGGAGAAGGTGCGAGATCTATTGTTATTTTTGTGGTTGTAGTCGTGTTAGTTGAATCATTACTAGTAGTTTTTGAGCAAATAGTGTGAGCATTCTCAGTGCCGTGTCCAATACGTACCACCAATCCTTTATTTAATATTTGCCTTTTAACATCTGTAAGGTGCAGATATGTTTTGATATTGAAGAAAACATATATTACAACAAGCCATGTTAAACTACTTAGGTAAACAAAAGTACTACTGTCGTTAATTGTAATCCATGCACGAATAAAAAAAGGTACTTTAGATAGATGGTCGACTTCAAGCATTGTTTTAGAAGAATGAAATTAAAATGAGTAAAAAACATTGCTACTGCGCTCTACTCATGCAAAATAAAAGCAATATCTTACCTTCAATGACGACTGCTTCTCCGCTACCAATATTTACTTTTGTCGAGTAGCCTTTTATTTCTGGTCTTCGCAAATCTTCTACCGGGCGTAGCCCATTTAACTGTGATGATACTATACGGATATTATCAAACTGATCCAGTTCACTTCTAGTTTCATTTACAGGCTCATCTTGTTCAACTCTTCGCAGATTACAGTTTTTGTCATAGAGCGTATTTTTCAGGGTGACTGTTGATTTCCACATTTGCGGTTCTAAATCAGAATGTACCGGCTTCAGTTTAACACCCCAAATTTGCTTCTCGTCATTGACCGGCTTGTCAATACAATATGGGTCATCTCCCAACAGGTACGGTTTTGGTTTTATCGGTTTATTCTTAAGGATACCTTTGGGGGTTTCACACTCTGCACTTTCCTTTTCTTCCTCATCGACGTCATCACCATAACTCGGACGCGTTTGGTTAGTACTAACTGTTACGGTACCGTTGCAAAATTGATCGTTGGGCTTGCTGCCAGCATCCGCAATTTGAAGAGCATCGAAGTTAAGTTCGTCCTCCTGGTTTGTAAAATTAAACATGTTCTTCTCATAGGAGCTGTCGCCAAAATGAAGAACAGGCAAACCGTTTTTGTTAGCCTCGGTCAGGAGATTGTTATACAGTGTTGCAGAGTTCCGGCGACGCCTTCGAAAGTTATTCGTGGGGGGTGGCTTTTCGTCCGTTGCAACGATGTTCACTCTACCAGAATCTACAGCGAAGTGCACCTCAGTCTTGCAAAATTCCACTTTTTTATGTCTCTTGCCTTGTGAAAAATCATCATCTAAAGCTTCATCAGCAGTTTTGTCGTTAATCGCTAAACTGGTACGTCTGTAATGATTCGCAGGCGCCTGCGTTACGTATCTTGACTCATCCACCGCGATAGAATGCCTTTTAATTTCACCATTGTGAATGTTTCTGTTGTAACTAAACGGCGAGCAATCCAATTCCCTGTCGTGGTAACCTTCAGGCACAATAGGTATGGTAATCTTCGTACCTTCGTAGTCCCTTATCCTGGAACTATCCCGTTTTTGTTCAAATATCGAAGCGTACCGTTTCACGTTTCCAATATTTGGCACAGCACTTTCGTTTGGCGTGTTATATTTATTAATCCTATTATATATTTCGTCTTTTTGACTATCATTGAGATCACTGGATTTATTTAATTGTACACTACTTTTGTTCGTCGTTGGCACCAACATAATTTCACTAGACCTGCAAATTCCGCTATCAGTGGACGAATCCATGGATGCATTGTTCTTAGATATTGTATTGGTAGGCTCCTGATTGTGGACCTGCTCAAAGCCGTACGATTTCCTTCTGTTGTACCAGTCTTCATTTCTATTTATAGAACCATTTAGTTGTCTAGAAGTACGCGATTCTAAACTGCCCGTTCCCACTATGGGCTTCTTGTTCATCAGTACTTCCATGCCGTATACGTACGAACGCACACGCGATTGCGGCGATGCACTATCCAAAGCGGGCATATCTTCTAATTGCTTGTTTAAGGGGTCTTCTGTTACGATACCATCGTCCGGTTCCTCGTCCTTCTTTGATTTAACAATGGTATCGACAGGCGAACTCGTACGTCTCAGTCTACCTCGAACTTCTTGTAAAGATTCTACTGTTACAAAAGAATGTCTTTTCGGTTGTTTGGTTATGTTCTGTTCGTCTTTTTCTGGTTCTTCAAATTTACCACCGCTATGCACGTCAGAAGGGGAAGTTATTAGTTGTAAAATGTGATCGAGAGCTTCGAGATCAACGTTATTTCCTCGTAAAGCAGTATTTAGTCTTCTTCCCGTTTCGAGATCTTCGCGAATTTTGCGTACGCTCCCCGTACTAATGGGCACATCGAGAGGCTTTGTTGTTGACGTCTTGTTCTGCGTTGGAAACTGAAGGGAGCGTCGAATTTTTGAGGTTCGCCTCCAATTTTGTAGCTGCTCGAGATCTTCCAAATCTTCCACGCTTTTATTTTGCTTCTCCTTCTCGGGGGTTAGGTGAATATCTTCGCTACTCGTGCTTTTCGTTCGACTTAGGTTAGTGTGTTCGTTAACGGGACGCTCGATTTCGATTATTTCGACACCGTCGCCACTTTCTCGTTCGTGTATTGGCGGTTTGTGGTATTTTCCGAACGTTTGCTTCACTGCATTCTCGTGAACTTGATTGCAGAGACGAGAAATACGATGTAAATTTGCCGGTACCGTCGAATGGGATTCTGGCAATATCTGTCGGGGTTCGTCTCGGCCTCGCGGTCGTGAAGGTGGACGTCTTCCAACGCTTCTACCTACGGTCGCTCTTGATTTTTGTGATGTTAGGTCTAGTGGATTTAGTGGGAGCTGTAAATAAAAGAAAATGTAATTAAAAGCAGTGATCTTAGTGAGCAGGGAAATAAAATAAAAGCGGTATATTCGATTGGTACATTTCAACCCTTTTCGGTACATAAAATTGGGACCTAGCACATACGTAGATAATTCAGGTTGTTAGTGACGCTGATCCCTTTTGCGTTGTGGTGGTGAAGGGTGTGTTCAGCAGGTTTGGCGTTCAATTAGAACGCCATTTTTTCGAGTGAGCGCAAATGCCGAGAATTAAAAAAGAATGATCTAAAAGAGACTTTAGGGTACCGGATGAGTTGGTAAAAGAGACGGTTATTGAACCCTCCCTCAACACGTAGTACAGATAACAATAGACAAGCCTTGACAAAACAAGTATCGGTAACACAGTGCACATCAAACACTCAAATGTCTACTGTCCTTTGTGACGGTTTTTTTTGAAAGCGTATACATTGCTATTTGATTAAGAATTAAGTAGTTTTTTTTGGATTGTATTTCAGTCTTTAACGTTCTATTTTATCTTTGCGCTTGTTTTTCACTCCGTGATTTCTCCTTTCATCGCACTGTTCACATTTAAATTGTTATCACCGCTGATCCCCTTCTATGTATGTTTTCTCCTTGTCCTACAATTCAAAGTTGGGAATCTTTGAAGTTTAAGTATTTGGACATCTGATATTGATAGGGGAATCCCCGCTTTCTCACATTTCCCAGCGAGGGACCATCGTCCACCAGCAGTGAGCTACCGGGTAGGTAACCTTGACGCGGTTTTCACCGTGGCACCTTGGACCTCTACACCTGGAAGGGGTCTTTGGGGACCTCTCGCAAGGTCTTCGTCACGTTGATTGGATTTCTTCTATGGACGACAAACGGGTTCCTTTCAGGGCTGCCTTAATCCAAGGAGGCAAAAAGAAGTCTGCTGTGGCGACGTCAGGATATGGGGGGGGGGAGGGGGGGCAGCGTTGGCATCTTGTATTTGGACAGGACCTCGCGGTCTCGTAGCGTGTTGTGACACGGCGCGTTGTCGTGATGTAGTTGTCAGACAACAGAGATGTCTTTTGTCTCCTGAGCCCATCCACGTAGTAGGGGACGTTAACTGCCTGTCAAATCTCCTTATGGACCGCTTCCTTACTGTCGAAAAAGACAATTAGCATTGTTTTCACTTTTGGTTTGCTCATTCTTGACTTTTTGGGCTTGGGGGACAGGGCGATGTGCAGTGTGCCACTCAGAGCTTTGGAGTTTTGTTTCTGCCCGGGTTGTATTCAATAACCCCGGTTTCATAACCATCAGTAACGACGTTGTCCAAATAGTCTTGGTTCAATTTCAATACGTTGCAACAACTCTCACGAAATCTCTGCTCAATTGGTGGTTTGGTCGTCTGACAACACCTGAAGCACGAGATTGGCTCACACTTTTTTCATCGCTAAATCTTCGGCCACAATGCGAAACCCAAAAGTAGATGACAAGCACAGTTCACTGGTGTTGCCTCTATCCTTGTGCATCAGTCAGTGATAAAAATGTGGCGTCATCGTATAACCGCTACACTACCCCCTTTCTAGTGGTACATCTTTTGGTCCTTGTGGTGTTAAATTGATGGAAAATGTGATTTGTGGTGCTGGAGCGGTGACTTGGTGGACGTGTGCGGTTTGTGTTGTGTTGGAGATAACACCAGACAGCTCGGCTGTATGCCGTCCAGGTTGGCTCCCTCTTGTGTGGTGGGGATGATTAGGATGTTTGTTGGCAACCGACTGAACCAAATTAATGGATCGTAGAGCCGTAGAGGCTCCTTTGGAACTGTTGCACCATCTATGTTCTACAAGTGCCGACGGAACTCTGATGGTTTAAGATCTATGTGCTTGTGCTGTGTTGTGTCCCAGTAACGGAGCTACGTCGCTTGCTACTTTTTTCATTAATTCGTTGGTATCTGCCATCTTTATTGCCTTTTTTGAGGTTTCATTCGCGGTTTTGACGTTTCACTCGTGGTTTTGACGTTTTTGGATATTCGCGGTGCACTGTTTGGGAACTCATGACGCGTAAATGTTCTTCTGTTGTCAGTGGTCACCATTTTGGCGGTTGTATTAATTCTGAGGTGACACTTTGACGTTTCTAGTAACGGGCGATCAAAAATGAGTTGCTGTCGAGTAGCCTTTGGAAGTTTAAGTTAAGTATGATTTCCAATGTAAACAAACATTCCAAAGGTAACTCGACAGCAACTCATTTTTAATTGCATAGTACCTCGGTGCTTGCGTTTACTCATTTTGGCGTGACGGGGAAGGAAACATGAACGCATTTGTAAACAGTGACAGTCCCATGTGTCAAATGCAGGTGTAACCTTGGTGCAACACGCATGACGGTGATCTTACGGTATGGGTGAACAATAGGACATGGAGGAACCTATGCTATGGGCGAACAGTAGGTGTTGTAGTCCTACGCTATGAGTGAACCAGGGAGAGTCTTCTTAGCTATGAGGTGTTTCTTTACCTATGGTAGAAGATTAATCGAATCGAAGATCGATACATCAATAAAATTTAAAGAATCTCATATTTCGAGCCAGCTGCGTGCAATATATTCCTGGAAGCAGGCAAGGGCGGATCCAGAAGTAATGTTCGGGGAGGGCAAAGTAGGGGGATGGTAGACTTTCCGGATATTTCATAACCCCCACGAAGAGGTGGGCCCCGGGAAAAATTTTTAAATTTAGGGTGAAAATAACGAGTTTTATAAGGTAATTTTCCACTGCGATCCCTAGTGTTATCTTATGGCCGAACCACAGTAAACAGCATAATATTATCATTATTCAAAAATTTGAATTTGTTAGACTAAATTCCCATATTGTTTTAATGAATTAGGTGAATTTATATTTGATACGCCAATTTTTTGAAAGTTCTCATATTCAGAATTAGTTTTTTTTTTCTAAATTTTGATTACAAACTATTGACATAAATGAGATACCTAGTAGTGAAAGAGAAATGAACTGAATTTATTCCTAGTTTTGAACTATTTATTTACCTGAGTTAGCTGGAAGAAAAAGTACACAAAAGGTAAGTTTCAAAAGTACTACAACAAAGAGAAAACGAAGAGGATTACAATTTACAAGAAAAATTTATACATCGACCCACCCAGAAGTCTGATCGAAAAAGTACGAATTGTTTTGGATTCTACGCACCAAAATTAATAAGAAAAAGTGTTTTCCCGAGAAATTTTGGTGCAGTCGATTTTTGGTAAAAAAAGGAAGGTTATACACTGCTTTTTTTGAGCCCCGAAAAAAAAATTCTCAGATCGACCCGGAAAAAAAATTTTCTTATAGAATGTGGCCTGTATAGAATCCATAATTTCAAACAGTTACAAGATTGGGCTACTAGTTCAAAAGTTACAGCCCTTTAAATTTTCCTTCGAAATTGGTTTCTAGTCCATAACTTTTGATTGAGAAGCCCACCCTTATTAGTATCCGTCCCTTACAGTGGGTCATTTTAGGTATGAAGATTAACTCAACTAAGTTTACAGGACAAGTCGTGATCGGATTGTGGCTCACTTCGGTTAGCGAGTTTTCACCACTTTTCGGTCAGATCGTCATCTCTCCTATCTCTGTCCAGTTAGTATTCTCTCTGAAAATGTAAGCTTCAACCTCTTGCGAAATGCGTGAAAAATTCACGCACATGCAGTGAGGGTTGGAAAATCTTGGGCTCTATAGCTCACAATCATGTGAAACGCGCAAGAGCTTTGATTTGGCTAAGGTAAAAGGCATACCTATTATGACGAAGATAACGATTTAGGAAAAATCGAATTCTACAGCGAAAAATGAATAAAAGAAGAGGATTTGACCTAGATAGTTGATGCCCAAGCCGATTTGAGATTGCAATCAAAAATGAAGTCAAACCCAATTAATGATCTTCATGAAGTTCTCACTTAAATTTAGCAACTGTCCATCTTATAACGCTTTTGTATTAATCAAAAGAAAAAGTTGGAATAAAAATAGAATCGAACCGAAAAATTGTAATTAAAACGTGCGGAAGTGCAGTTATTACCTTTTTGATTCTTTCATTAACAACCCCTCTATGATACACACCTCTCACTGTTCAATTAGTACAGTGTGGGTTTCTGGTGAAGAGTTACTTAATTTTGATGAAATCGTTAGGTAATTCAGGATTAGAAAGGACACATTAAAACGAGGAACCAATGCCATTCCCATATTTTGCTATTGTTTCTAGTAATGGTCGCGTTTTGCATTAATTTCAATGATTAATAAACTAGCAATCAACCTACCTCTAAATCGGTGAAATGAGGTGCAACATCCTTATGTTCGGACTTACTGGTCCACCTACTACTCGACACCGTGTGCGATTTGATGACCTGAAGACGTCCACCAGGTACACTACTTTGAAAGACCTCCAGCTGCCTTCTGGCCTGCTGTATAGCACCGTCTGCGTTCGACCGAGCCCGAGTATCCACTACCTGAAACAACGTAGAGGATGACGCTTTTGGTGATAATTATTTCGCGAAGGTTACTCATCTCTTGCATGAAACTTGCATAAAATTTAACCGCAAATATAGCCAGGTGAGTAGGTTTCTGGTAGGTGGCGGCGTTGCCAATTATTACAGCTTATAAATCATTTTTATGGGCCATATTTGGTATGCGGAGACATAATGAATGATAGGTAACGGAAATTAACATTTTCTATTTCGTAACGTTACATTGTAAAAAAATTGGCGCTCGCAGTTTTTCTCTCCCCAGCCTTCATTCAATTGGACGCGTAATCGATCTGAGACATGATATGATATACAATATGGTTATAGGTACTTGGTATTTTTCATCATTTAATTAGCCAACTGAAGCTTGATGAGTTCAACAACCGGTGGCCGGTTAAGATTTATCGCTGGGAGAGCTCACTCTGAAGATTAATACATTTAGATCAAGGTGGGCAAACTTTTCTTTCGTGGATCCAAAGATCTTGGGGACCAGTAGTTCTCTATCACCTAAAGTGTCAAAATGAAGCAAAGTTCAGGACTAGGTATTAATTAAGCAATTACAAAAAAATGTGGAAAATAGGACAGAAGTCTAAATTATGGCTAGGCGTAATCTTAGCGCATATCTAAATTAGCATTAGTGTTGATTGAATGCACACTTTGACCATGAATAAATATGATTTATAAAGTAATGAAGACCAAATGAGACATGTGATCTTCTTCCGTGCGTACTTTTGGGTGGAAATGTAATTGCGGGCGTGTGAAAGATTTAATCGCAAACCCAGCACCATTTTGTTATCTTTCCACGACCTAGGAATCTAGGATCTTAACTATAATTGTGTAATTAATACAAGGTTATGATGCTCGGTGCGTAATCACTACCTGTTTGTAAGTAGTTCAATGTTACATTAACAAGCAAAATTATTACCTTATTACCTTTTCCTTGTCGAGTGCATTTAACTGTGAAGAATTATTGTAGCCGTATACCTCAGAGAAAACATCACAGATTTTGACATTTACCACCACACGAAGAAATGGTTTTGCAATCTGACGTTCAAGGATAACTAAATGCTAATGTTAATGCAATTTCCCGCTAGTTACTTTTTATGTCATCTGAGTGTGTTGCAAAGTTCATGGTTATAGACCACCTCAATCTTACCATTGGATTCCAATTTGAGACACTCGACCAAATTCTAAACAGAAAATAGAACAACCCACTAATTGCAAAACTGTTCAACGCATTGTGGCGTTGCCAGCACGAAAACTGAAAAATGATTTCATCGTCGACGTACAAAAGATCACCGCAAATTATAAACAATGCGAAAGTTACATTACCATTAACTGGGCATTTAAATTTCAAATACATTAAGGCTACTATACCCATTTGGCAGACAATAAACAAAGGCTATAAGCGAGTGCACACGTTATTGCCATGTCTTTTCTAATAGACACATGTTAAAATAAAACGTTTATCAAACCTATTAATGATCCGTGACGTAAAAAATATCAAAACAGTTATACTCGAATGGCTTTGATTTAAAGTGATTTATTGAAGTAATGCCTTCCATTCAAAACGCCCTGCATTAAACGAGTTTATTGCCATGTTTACGAGTCCGCGTAGACGATAAATAACACGGAAAAATGTGTAATTGCAATTGACGAAGTTATCGAGCGCTCCTGTAGGTGACTACTGACAAAACCTAATCACTCCCTTTGAATCTGTTCCCATTTCCCCTAAATTTTTAAGAAACTTACAAAGGACTCCCTAAAAGAATAATGAAATCCATAATCCATAATTTGTGGCTCCTTCACAGGTGAAGTTCTGATCAGGTAACCACTACGAAGCACAACACGGTCTTTGCAGTCACTCAAGTTGCATCACAGGAAGTGAAGGTAACCACTACGAAGCACAAACGGTCTTTGCAGTCACTCAAGTTGCATCACATTCGTTAGGGCTCCACAGTAAATTGCTAACGGAAATACACTACAGCGTCTTTGATATTTCTACGGGATATTCTTAATGCGTTAAGAGTATATTTTGATGATTTTTCTACACAGTATTGAGAAATAAATAAACGCAAAGTAGATTGAAAAGGAAACCTTTCCACTATTAAATACTGACAAACCACAAATTACGACTCGAGAGTCGCGAATAAATTCTCCGAGTAGAGAAATTGGAATCTATACCACGATTAACGATATTTCGGCCGGCATATACCGCTTCATGGCGAACGTGAACAAAAGTATGTCTGGCGATGATAAGAAACTTATTGGGTAAAGCGAGCGCGGTTGCCAAGATCTCTTCGGACATAAAATTTGCGTTCATTCCATTTGAGTCGGCTGAAAAAGTCGAAATACGGGTTTTCTGTTGGTTGTGAAGGCACGTCAGGTCATTGCATGCAGAAAGAAAGTCCCGTTTCGGTTTTTCTAGCGGGGAGATTAAAATAGCGAGATATTTGAAGTTGTATAATTACACTATTTCAGGCGTAACGGTTCTAATTTGTTTGTTTTTGTCAGATTTTAGGTAATCCATCAAAAATGAGGACTCTGGATCACTCCTTTTTTTATAACGCTCTCTACTCCCATGCAGGTTTTCTGGAAATGGCGTATAATGGAGGGGGGATAACTCGATAACAGGATCCTCACAACAGTTTTTGGGGAAGATTATCATATCCTATTCTTTAAAGCAGTACTGCAGAGAACGTAACACCAGGCGGGAGTTTGGTGGAGTACGCCCCCCCCCCCCCTGTATAATATATTTTGGTTCCATGGAGTACAGAGTGATACAGGAAAAGAAGTTATTGAGTCTTCCTGCCGGGGGGTATTCCCCCAGGTAACACATTTCACGTTTACGGTTCTCACAATAGTTTTTGGGAAGATTCAACCGAATTCACGTAACAAGTTTAAATAAGGAACATTCAATTGAAGTGATAAAAGAGGTACATGTGTACATTGTACAAAGTGATGTCCAAAACTTGGACAAATTGAGGCAGCAATTAGCTTTGAAGTCGATTCACCGACATTCCGCCACCATGAGATGCCTTTTTCAAATACGTTGTGAGGTACAATCATGCCAGAATGACGAAAGCCTACGACTTACGGGATTTGACTATATATTACATTCATCCAAACATCTATTCCAGAAGTTTTATGATAAACGACTAACTTAAAATGCAAGAATAAGTCTTGTTCCACGATGAGGGCGAATGTTTGAAGGAAAAAATTGTAGTTCGCTAGTGAAGTGAAAGCCAATGAAATTATTGCAAAAATGAACCGAAATATATAACTAAAGTAACTAACATAATTTGAATAATTATTAAAAGCGACAAGGAGAAGGAAATTGACAAGAAGTGTTCCGTTCCCTGCATTATGGAAGTTTATTGACTTTTTTTCTGTATTTTGCGAATGTTCAGTGGAAATCTATAAATTATGCCACGAAATGTCAAGCAAGAAAAGATTTAACAAAGTCTGTGTAATTCAAAATGAAAAAAAAAAGGTTTTGCCTTATGGCGAATAACTTTAGCCCATTTTCCATGGTTAATGACATGACATTAATTAGTCCGAAAGGTCACATAATAGACTATTTATGTGTACGCTAAGACCTACATATTCTTGTAAATAAAAAACTTAGCACTACGGATCCTGATGTTTAAAATATGCGATTCTCTTTACTAGAAGAATCTTTGGTTAAAATTAAAAAAAAAAACTATAAATAGGAAAGTTAACATTGCGCAGTGTGGGCATCTGGTGTTTAAAATGTGCAATTTTTATTAGTTACTGGTTAAAATTTCAATGAAATATCACCATAAATAAAAAAGTTGGCACTGCGCAGTAGCATTGCGCAGTTTGCGCATGCGCACATCCATATACCAGGTATGTTTGCCTTTACTAGAAGAATTTTTGATTAATATTTAAAAAATATCTTTATAACTAAGAAAGCGCTTCATTTGTACCCGCAACACCGATAATGAATTCATTGGGTATATTAATAAATAATTAATTTTACCGTTTAGTATAATTGGAGAACATCCTCAGTAAGCACATGCACCAAAAGATGATTACAAGGACTCTCGAAATTAAAATATCGACAGTTTTAGTTATAATTTCGCCACTTTTATTAAATGTCGCGCGATTTATTTAATACGATAAACTGCAACTCACTTGTCTTTAACGCGTAGTGAGCAACTTATTAAGTCAACACATTCCGTATTACTTCATTTATTTACGTTTGCTCTACACTTAAAAATTTTAAGTTTCCTCTTCGATTTATAACTGGACGGGAAATTTTACACGACAACTTTGAATTTCTTTAATTACTAAGTAAATCTTTCACACTCACAAATGGCGAATTATTCACAAAATGTTTAAATTCTCATTGGTTAGTATCTTTCTTCCTACCAATCCTAGATGATTGTAAAGGTCATTCCAAACTAAGCTGACTCAAAACATTCCATGGTTTATCTGGTGATGAGCTAAGAAACTTAACTTTATATATCTATTAAAAAGGACGTAATTTGGTCCAACACGCAGACTTCGAGGCGCTTCAAGTCATTAAAGAATAAAAGCCCATTGCAAAGTAATTGCATAAAATGACGCTCATCCCATTGGTCGTCACATAGTTTATTTGAAGAATTTTTGAACATTACGTACGTTGGAATTAATAGTTTTCAGTAGAATTATGGAGATTACGGTAGAATTGTGAAACTGGAGTGGTACTAACCGAAGTCAATGTGGAATTTTGTATGGAAATCCCTACTGATTTTAAGATATGCAGTTCCACGTTCAATTCATACTGAAGGCAGGGTACTCGGTACATTTTATACAACGATACATTGTAAGTCTTCACTGTTGAGCTACTTACTCGATTGGTTTATAATGATATTTAAAATGCGGTTATATCTTTACGTCCTGCTGTCTTCAGCAATAAAATAACAGTGTATACCTTAGCACGTTGACAAGATATACATCTTTCAGTTCAATAAATTTTA